GGGATCACTCCTGGCGGTGCTGGGGGAGGGGGGGACCATATGGGATGCCAGGGATAGAGCCCAGGTTGGCCGCGTGCAAGGCAAACAGTCTCCCCGCTCAGGCCCCAAGGAGTGCCCCGTTTTATAGGGAACTGATAAGAAGCTGATGGGGGGGGGGTGTGATGATGGGGAAAGTGCAGGAGAGAGCCGTTACCTGAGGGCGGGGGCGGGGGCGGGGTCGCTGCAGTGGAGGCTGGAGGAAGATCTGTAAAGAGAAGCTGAGGCTGTACTCCTGCAGAAGACTCAGGGCTCTACTTTCACTGGGGCATGAGATGCCCCCGGGCCCAGCCCCTAGGGGAGGTGGTGAGGGGGGTGGGGGACAGAGAAAGGGGGGCGGGGTCCAGGCAGGGGCACTCCCGGAACTGCAGGCGGCGCTTACCTGGAGCTGTGGTCCAGGGGCCTGGCCTGGGGGCTGCGGAGGAACACGGGCACCTGTGTGTAATGAGGCTCTGGGACTTGAGCACTGGCCCTTCCACTGACCCCTCGGGGCCATCTGCGTCTATTTCGGGCTTGGGCCGTATTCCAAGGGGCTGAACCAGCCAGTGACCCCAGCACACAGAGTATAGAACTGTACTACCTAGGCAGGATTTCCTCACGGCTATGCCCCTGAAACAGGCAGGAAGGGAACAAGTTTACATTACCTGTCGTGAGGGCCAGATCTGCAGCGGAGGTCGGGGTAGGAGCTGTCCAAATGAGCACCAGTTGAGAAAATGCTGGCGAAACCCCCACCCTGGCCAATCAAACGCGCCGGCAGGAAAATACCCGCTATCTCCTGACTTGCTAAGCATGTCCCAGCCAGGCTCAAGGATGACCAGCCACTTCCTGCTGCGTGTTCCTGCTCTCCCTGTCCTTAGGTGCAGGGAAATAAGTAATACAGAGGTGGCACTTGGCTCTGGCTCAAGGACCTGGGCCCTAATCTCTCTCTGCTCCTTTCGTCACGGGCGTGTGTCTTGAATGAGCCCCCGTGCAGGGGTCTGCTGTGGGCTTGGAGGGCCGCCCGTGGCACTTGTGGCGTTGGTGCTCACACAGATTGGTACTGGTGTTTGCCCTGGCGTGAGTGTGTGCCCTGCTGTCCAGGACAAGCTCCACCCTCCTATCCAGGTGGGGAAACTGAGGCTCCGAGAAGTGGGTTTGCTCAGGGCCACCGTAGGGTGATGGTTGGAGCCAGAGCAAAGTCCCAGGTTCTCTAGCTCCAAGTCCTGACACCGTATTTCACAGATGCCAGTGAGAGTGTGTGTGTGTGGTGGTGGTGGTGGGGGGTCAACACGGGAGCCAGCTGGGGGCACGCATTCACCAGAAGTTCCCCTGCAAACCCTCCGGCTTCAGTGCTGGGGTGCACGTCTGGACCGACGGCCCGCGGGTGTGCAAGGCTGCGAGATACTCTTCCACGACTGCTCAGCCGCAAGGCTATGGAGCCAGGCAGGCTTAAGATTGGCCTCTGGCTGGACTGTCCTGTGGGTGGGGCTACGTGATTATTTTCTGAAATCGCACAGCAGAGAAATAGCTCGGCTGACATAAGCCCGAGAGAGTAAGCAGATGAGCTCACTGGCCAAGGCAAGAGGGAAGCGGGGATCACCCTGAAAGTAAGTTCCAGGGGCACCGAGCAGAGGCTCAAACTGGACAAGACCGGAAGGCGAGCTGCCAGAATCTGTTCAACTGAGTGTTTCAGTCAATGATCAGGTGAGCAACCTTCTATAGTTCAATTTGAGCTCGCTACTCAGATTCACCAGAAGAATAAACGCCCGACTCACCCCCATGCCGAGCAGTTTATAGCTAAGTGATTTGTAGAAAGCGGGAGAACAAAAGGAAATTACCAGCGGATGTCATTTTGGTGACTGATGCTGAAATGGTGGGAAAAAAAGAAAAAGAAAAAGAAACCAGGTAAGATGAAATCGAAACAAAACAAAAGAAAACTCCCACACGCAAGCAGGACGTTTAGAAGGTGTCTCTGTTTTTTTTTTCTTTTTGGGTCACACCCGGCGATGCACAGGGGTGACTCCTGGCTCTGCACTCAGGAGTTACTCCTGGCGGTGCTCAGGGGACCATATGGGATGCTGGGAATCGAACCCGGGTCGGCCGTGTGCGAGGCAGACGCCCTACCCGCTGTGCTATCTCTCCAGCCCCTGTTTGTTGCTTTTGTTTGGGGGGCCACACCCAGGGGTGCGTAGGGCTTACTCCTAGCTGTGCTTAGGGATCACTCCGGGCAGGGCTTGGGGACCATCTGGGGGTGTCGGGGATCAAACTCAGGTTGGCTACATGCAGGGCAAATGCCCTTCCCACTATACTATCTTTCCAGAAGACACGGTCTTATTTAAAATTATGTGGCCTCTTGAGGGGCACTTTGGTGATGGTGAAGTGAAGTCTCTGTATATGCAAGATAATAAAAGTCCGATCCGTTGTTAACACGTCACCGTAACTCTAATAAGTGAAAACATACAGCTGTATACTACAGACATAAGAGGCAGAATGTGAATGGAGAAGAGGAAAGCAAGAAAGATGTCTTTCTACCTGAAAGCTTTGTAACTTTTCCCACAGTGATTCAATAAATAAATAAATAAATAAATAAAAAAGAAAGATGTCTCATTTTTTTTTTGCTTTTTGGGTCACACCTGGCGATGCACAGGGGTTACTCCTGGCTCTGCACTCAGGAGTTACTCCTGGTGATGCTCAGGGGACCATATGGGATGCTGGGAATCGAACTTGGGTCGGCCACGTACAAGGCAAACGCCCTACCCGCTGTGCTATCTCTCCAGCCCCCTGATGTCTTTCTTTTGGGGGGAGAGTTTGGGTGCCCCAGCAGTCCTTGGGGGCTGCTCTCAGTGCCCTGGAGCTCGTGGTGTGGGGCCAGACCAGGGTGAGCCACGAGCACCTTGACCCTGAGAGGTTTCCTGGGTGTGACTGAATGGCCAGGACGTCATTTGGGGGACATGTCACATGTCCCCCCAGAGCAGAGGGATCCCGAAGGCCCTTTCCCCGATGGGAGGATGAAGAAATACTTTATGGAGTCTGCAATAGCACAGGGCTGGAGCGATAGCACAGCGGTAGGGTGTTCGCCTTACAAGCGGCCAACATGGCCGACCCGAGTTCGATTCCTCCGCCCCTCTCGGAGAGCCCGGCAAGCTACCGAGAGTATTCGATATGCCAGACACAGTAACAACAAAGTCTCCAATGGAGACGTTACTGGGCCCGCTCGAGCAAATCGACGATCAACGGGAGGGCCTTTATCCTTTATCCTTTAAGGGTGTCAGGGAGAGAAAGGGGCTTCATCCGTGGGGTTTCCTAGAGCCACACCATGAAGCCTGCTCCCAGAGACTGTGATGGTGGTGGAGGCGGAGCAGGAAGGGAAGGCGGGGACCAGAGCCCCCCACCCCCCAACCCCGTGGACTCGGGGTGAGGGGAGCTGGCAGCTGAAAGCCCACCCAGAAGCCCCCTGGGAACGGCAGTGATACTGGACCTTGCGCCTGAGCTTGGGGGTCACCTGGGTCCACTCTCCCTCCCATCCCCGGAGAACGTCGGGGTACCTGAGCAGACCACGCCGGCGTCCTCATGGTGGCCGCAGTTGTGGGTGGACAAGCCCAGGTGCCGGCATCGGCCCAGGCTGGTCTCGTGACCCCGGCACTGCACGTCGTCCAGGAGGATGGTCCCCGTGCCCTCGCCAAAGTGGCCGCTGCCCAGGGCGCCCAGGCCCTGCCCGCAGCCCAGCTGCCGACATACCACGTGGGCAGCGGGGAGGCCCCAGAGGTCATCACACACCGTCCCCCACGTGCCATTGTGGTACAACTCCACACGCCCTTGGCAGCGGTTCTGCCCGTCCACCAGCCTGACGGTGGGCAGGTCTGCGGAAGACTCGGGGTTAGTTGGGGGAGGGCCCACCCCAGCCCCCAGCCCCCAGTCCCCCAAGTTGGAGTTTAGAACAAGGCTTCTAGTCTGAGCTCTGGTAAACGCATCACCCTAAATATAATAAGAAAACTCACAGCTGCGTGCTCCAGACATAAGGGGCAGACCATGAAGGCAGAAGAGCAAAGCAAAAAAGGAGTCTTTCTTTTGGGGAGAGGGACACCCCCAAGGACTGCTCCGGGGCTCATGGTGCGGGGCCAGACCAGGGTGAGCCACAAGCACCTTAACCCTGAGAGGCTTCCCGGGGTGTGACGGAGTGGCCAGGATGTTTTGATTTTGGAGGTTGGGGTCTCCACTGATGGGGGGGGGGTACCAGGGCTACGCCCAACTCTTCCCTGGAAAAGCTCAGAGAGAGAGAGAGAGAGAGAGAGAGAGAGAGGCTTCTTGTTCTAAACTCCAGATGTCACTGTCAGACCCCAGGAATCACGAAATCACGGTCCTCCCATTGTTCAATTTGCTCGAGCGGGCCCGGTAACGTCTCCATTGGAGACTTTGCTGTTACTGTGTTTGGCATATCGAATACATCACAGGTAGCTTGCCAGGCTCTGCCATGCAGGCGAGATGCTCTCGGTAGCTTGCTGGGGTCTCCGAGAGGGGCGGAGGAATCGAACTCGGGTCGGCCATGTTGGCTGCGTGCAAGGCAAATGCCCTACCCGCTGTGCTATCGCTCAGACCCCAGATTCCAGAAAAATCGACTTTTCCCGGGGCCCTTCCGCTCCTGATTGGAGGCTGGGACGGTCTTCCTGGCCGCTCCTGTTTTCAAGAGCACATTCAGGCCCACCCTTCCTGACGCTGGGGTGCGCGATGAGCTTCCAAGGATGGGAGGGCTCATCTCTTGGAGGTCATCAAGTTGGACATAAAAGCACCCACCGATGCCACACTCGACTTTACGCTGATTCCTTTTGGGCCAAACGCATCCACTGACCGGCCCAGGAAGTGAAATTTAAGACACCAGGCAAGGGACAGCCCTGTCCTGCCCCCCTGCCCCCGCTCCCTCTCAGCTGTGGTGGGGGGTGGGGGCCTCGGGGGGCACTGACATTCCCACTGGGTATGCGGTGAGATCCCAGGCGAACCCCAGACTGGAAGTCGTGAGCGAGAAGGAGAAAGATTACCGATGGCCAGGGTGGCTTCTGCTGATCCCGGGGCAGCTTCTGTGGCTGAAAGAGAACCCCACCCAGGGGCCCATGTTAGTGAAGGAGGACAGGTATGAAACCCTCCAGGACACAGGCACCTGGACTGGTTTTTGTGTCAGTGGGATGGTTCAGAACATTTTGGTGAATGCAGAAAGTTCTAGACTCTAGCCTAGGGAGGGGTCTGGGAGAGCTCCTGGATTCTGGAGTCTGGGAAGCTTCTCTGTCTCTGTCTCTCTCTCTCTCTCCCTCTTCCCCACCCCGAGCTTTTCCAGGCAGGAGCAGGACCTCCTCAGCACTGCCAGGCATGGTCCTGGTGACCCCCACATCTGGGGAGACCTGAGATGCAAAAATCCAAGTTCTTGATTAAAAATAAGCCCTCTGGGGCTGGAGTGATAGCACAGCAGGTAGGGCATTTGCCTTGAACGTGGCCAACTTGGGTTTGATCCCCAGCATCCCATAGGGTTCCCCAAGCACTACCAGGAGTAATTCCTGAGTGCAGAGCCAGGAATAACTCCTGAGCATCACTGGGTGTGACTCAAAAAGCAAAAAAAAAAAACAAAAAAAAAAAAAACAAAAAAACCCCAAAACAACAAAAACAAACAAACAAAAAATAAAACAAACCCTCTGACACCCATGGGACTATCATCTCCCTGGCCCTCTGAGGAGGGGCGGCTCCAGGCTGGGGTGGGGGTCCCAGATGGTGGCAAATGAGAGGGTCGCATGGGGTCTGGTCCAACAGCAGTGGGGGGGGGTGTCATGTGGGGGGGGGCTCATCCAATTTTGGCTCAGTGACCAAAGTGAATAATGCAGAGTGATGTCACAACTTTTCCCAGTGGTGGCACGAAATTGGCAAGGAAGTCCCAGCTGGGGCTCGGCCAGCCGGAGAGAATCTGCCTCCAGCTCCTCCCGGGAAGGGACGGGAGGGACCCCCGAGGGCCAGGGGCAGCTTCCACCTCTTCCTGCTCCCAGCCCTGGGCCTCAGCTGGGACTCGTCTGACTGTGCCCGGGGTGTCTGAGTCTGAGGGGGTCCTGGGAAATTCAGGGGGGAGCCCTGGGTGGGGCAGTCACTGGCCGGAAACGCCTGCCCCTCTGGGACCACTACCTGAGCACACGGCGCCGGCGTCCTCGTGGTGGCCGCAGTTGTGGACCGACAGGCCCAGGTGGTGGCAGCGGCCCAGGTTGGCCTCGTGGCCCGAGCACTGCACATTGTCCAGGAAGATGGGCCCCACGCCGTCTCCGAACAGGCTGCCGTGGGGGGCCGCCAGGGCCAGGCCGCAGCCCAGCTGCCGGCACACCACCTGGGCGGCCGGCAGGTCCCACAGGTCGTCGCACACTGTCCCCCACGTGCCGTTGTGGTGCACCTCCACGCGGCCTTCGCACTTGCCGCCACCATCGGCCAGACGCACCTCAGGCAGTTCTGTGAGAGAGCGGGTGGGGGGTGGCGGGAACCCCCCTGGGTTTCCCAACACGCCTGAGAGACCCAGTGGGTCTGCAGCCCCCGTGGCCCGGGTGCCCAGAAGTGGGACACGCAGAAAGCTGCCACCCCCCGCCCCCTCCCGAATGTGGGTACAGAGACGGGGGTACCAAAGGCGACCAAGCCCCCTTCTTGGGGAGCAATTTCTCAGTTTCCTCCACCTTCGAGACCCCCAAACCTGGCCTGTCCCCTTTTCAGATCAATCACCTTGTCCCCCTCCCCCCAAATCTTCCTTAAGCAAACAATAGAAAGGCTCCCCAAATTACACCCGGAACTACCGGCACCCCTGGGAGGTGGGTGACAGTGATGTCATCCACTTTGTGAAACTGCTCACCTTTTCAGCCAGATTCAGAATCTGAATCTGCTGAATTCAGTATTCAGCAAGCTCAAAGTCCACTGTGTGTTCTGCCTCTGGTTGTTAGCCCAGATTGGCCTCACATTCTCCAGATGGATTTTACTCAATGTGAGTCTTAAAACTATCATATATTCACCCATTGCCTCTTGCAAACCACAGCACCCAAAAGGAGAGAGAGAACAAAAGGGAACGCCCTGCCACAGAGGTAGGGTGGGATGGGGGGGGGGTGGGGGGTGAGAGGGATACTGGGATCTGTGGTGGTGGGAAATGGGCACTGGTGGAGGGATGGGTGTTTGATCATTGAACAATTGAAACCCAAGCACAAAAATTTGTAAATCTTCAACTGTACCTCATGATATCTCACTAATAAAAAAAAAAAAACTATTATGTATGTCCTGGGGATGATGGTGGAATTGACACTTGGAAAGGCAAGGAGGACAGGATTGGTGAGTGAAACAGTTCCGAACCCAAGACTTCCAGGTGATGAGACTCAGACCCTAAGTGGCTCAGCGCTTAGGGCCGGGGGCCCTTCGTGTTGGCCTGGGACGGTGCTCCCGAGTCTGGAGTGGGCTCCCCTCGGAAAGCTCTCTCGGACCCAGGGTCCCCCCTGTGTAACTACAGCACCCGGGCTGCAGAAATAACGCTGGCCATGTTGTGTAGGCGACAGACGAGGGGACCCCGGTCTTAGAGGAGGAGGTGTGGAGTGGAAGGACAGAAAGCAGTACCGATTGGATGAAAAGCACGCGGCGGGTCGTCAGGCGCTGATGGAGCTGTACATGTAGGAAGAAAAAGCCATCATTGGGCGTCAGCAGCAGAGTGAGTCCCTATCCCCGTGTGCTGCTGGACACCATCGTGGTAGCTTCAGGGGGTCCCTTCTGAGCCAGTCACTCGCACTCACCCACCGAAGGTGCTGGTGGCCTCACACACCACGCACCAGGGCCGGGATGTGCCCAACTGGGCAGAACACGAGACCTGAGTGTGATCCCAGCACTGCATGGCCTAGACTCTGCCGGAGGGTGGGGCATGGTGGTCCCTGAGCAACACCAGGCCTGAGGATTGAGCCAATGAGGCCCAACCTGTGGGAACAGGCGTGGCCCTGGAGGCCTCCCCCAACCCCCATACGTCACGAGGTGGGAAGTGAAAGATGGAGAAGTTGAGGTTGCAGCAACAGGACAGCGTGTAGGGCAGTTGCCTTGCACGCGACTGACCCAGGTTTGATCCCCGGCATCCCATAGGGTCCTCCAAGCACCTTCAGGAGTAATTCCTGAGCACAGCCAGGAGTAAGCCCTGAGCTTGGCAGGGTGTGGCCTCCAAAACAAACACAAAATTCAAAACCAAAGGACCGAGACAACAAGAGAAAGGAAGTGGAGCTGGGTTGTGAAGGGCATCAGCCAGCTGCCCCCCAGGCTCCAGGCCCCCTGACCTCTCTGGGCTGTGCCTGAGCCCCTTGGAGGCTGAGGTCAGATCTGTGTGTGCTGGAGGGGGCAGGCAGTGACCATCCACCCAGAAACCGCTTTCCACTGAGTGCAGCAGGAGGACAGTGGAGGGGCAGGTCAGAGAGGGCAGGGGCAGTGGGCGTCTGCAGCAACGTGGCCAGTTGCCCACCGGCTGGTGGAACGGGAGTGAGTCTGCATACCTGGCTGTCCGGCGGCAGCAGAATCTGCAGAGAAAAGAGCAACACAGCGGGTTAGTCCCAGCCCCGGTAGGGATGAGAGACATGGGGATGTGGGAAGAAGCACTCCAGCCTCCTCCGTTGGGGGGATGCGTGTCCAGCCACACGAAGCGGCAGCCCTGTGCAGAAGGCGTGTGGACAGCGGTGTGGATGGGGGCTGCAGACGGGGCCTGGGGGATGTAGACAAGGGCATCTGCTCCCTAAAGGTCATGGAGATTCCGTGGGGTCCAGCAGGAGCACCCCAGGATGTGAAGATACTGGATGGTGGGGCCGGAATGACAATCTAGCCGGGAGGGTGCCTGCCTTGCACACAGCCGGCCTGGTTGGATCCCCGGCATCCCATTTGATCCCCCAAGCACCGCCAGGAGTAATTCCTGAGTGCAGAGCCAAGAGTAACCACTGTGTATCGTCAGGTGTGACCCAAAAAGAAAAAAAAAAACCAAAAAAACAAAACAAAACAAAACAAAAAACAAAAAATAAAACCCAAACAAACAACCAAAAACCAAAATACTGGAAGATGGGGCTGGAGTGATAGCACAGCGGGGAGGGCGTTTGCCTTGCATGCGGCCGACCCAGGTTCGATTCCCAGCATCCCATAGGGTCCCCTGAGCACCACCAGGAGTAATTCCTGAGTGCAGAGCCAGGAGTAAAACACTGGGAGGATTGTAGCACTGTAGCACTGTCATCCTATTGTTTATCAATTTGCTTGAGCGGGCACCAGTAACATCTCCAACTGTTTTTGGCATATCAAATATGCCAAAAATTCCTCTGTTCGACAGAGGAATTGAATCTGGGTCGGCCGTGTGCAAAGCAAATGGCCTACCCGCTGTGCTATCGCTCCAGCCCACCTCCTTCAACACTTGACCCAGCATGCAGCACAACACAAATGCACCACGTCGCTGCTTCTGTGGCAAATTCTGCCCACCTTGTGGCCTCAGAGTGTCAGCTGGGCAATGCTCCCCTCACTGGGGAGAACTCAGAGCTCAGCTGCACGATCCCATATGGGATTGAACCTAGGTCGGCCTCGTGCAAGGCAAACGCCCTACCCCCTGTGCTATAGCTCCAGCCCCCCAGTATCTTGTGTGTGTGTGTGTGTGTTTCTCTGCACTTTATTTATTTTTATTTCTCTGCACTTTATTATTATTTTTTAAATTTTTATTAGTGAAACACCATGAGGTACAGTTGTAGACATACAGATTTTTGTGCTTGGGTTTCAGTTAGACAATGATCGAGTACCCATCCCTCCATCAGTGCCCGTTCTCTACCACCAATGATCCCAGTATCCCTCCCTCCCCCAGTATCTTTTTTTTTTTTTTTTTTTGCTTTTGGGTCACACCCGGCGATGCACAGGAGTTACTCCTGGTTCATGCACTCAGGAATTACTCCTGGCGGTGCTCAGGGGGCCATATGGGATGCTGGGAATCGAACCTAGGTTGGCTGCGTGCAAGGCAAACGCCCTACCCACTGTGCTATTGCTCCAGCCCCCCCCCCACCCCCCAGTATCTTTTTAAGCACCCTCTATCATCATTGTTTTCTTTTTGTTTGGGGGCCATGTCTGGCAGTGCTCCAGGGGCTGCTCCAGGCTCTGGATGGACCCCGGAAGCGCTCTGGGGACCATATATGGTACTGGGCAGGTACCTTGACCTCCGGTCAGCCCTACTGCAGCCCACGTGCTTTATGTTCTAGGTGACTTGCTTCTATAGAGATCAAGTTCAGCGCCCTCATCTGTACTGAGTAGCAGGAACATTTCCCAGAGTCAGAGCAGAAATCTGCAACTCAGAGGGCTCCCCGGCCTGGCCCTGCCATCCCCCACTCACCCGCGCAGATGACGCTGGCGTCTTCCTGGTGGCCGCAGTTGTGGGCGAACCACTCCCCGTGGGGACACTGGTCCAGCGTGGACTCGCTGCCGGTGCAGTTGACGTCATCGAGGACGATGATGCCTGTGCCGGAGCTGAAGCTGGCGCCCAGCAGGGCGAACACAGCCGGGCCACAGCCCAGCTGCCTACAGACCACGTGGGCATCCTCAATGGACCAGTGGTCGTCACACACGGTGCCCCAGGTGTCGGCGTGGAACACCTCCACGCGGCCCTGGCACCGGCTCGGCCCGTCCACCAGCCGCAGGCCCTGACCTTGGACATGGTGAAAGACAGCCCGTCAGGGTGTGTGCGGGGACCAGCCCTGTCCCCTGCCGCCCGGCTAGTGAGGGGCCGGTGCACATCATCCACGCCCTGTTTCCGCTCGCTCTGGCCTTGGGCACTCCAGGGGTGCTACTTTGTAGCTAGCAGGTAGCACTGTAGCACTGTCCTCCCGTTGTTCACCGATTTGCTCGAGTGGGCCCAGTAACGTCTCCATCGTGAGACTTGTTGTTACTGTGTTTGGCATGTTGAATACGTCACAGGTAGCTTGCCAGGCTTTGCCGTGTGGGCGAGATACTCTCAGTAGCTTGCAGGGCTCTCCAAGAGGAGCGGAGGAATCGAACTTGGGTCAGCCGGGCTGGCCACGTGCAAGGCAAATGCCCTACCATATGGGTGTGGAATCCTGGGCACCCCCTTCTCCTGGGGCGCCGGGAACCCTGGTTTCTGATGTTTGGAGCCTGAGTTGGCTTTTCTATGACAGACTGACGTGGACATGTGTGTGCGTGCGTGTTGAGTGGGGTCAACGGGGTCCTGGTCTCAGATGAAGGTACCCCAGGAAGAGGATGGATGGGGGACTCAGAACACAGCCCCGTGGGATGGGGCGGGCACTGGGGGCATCTCTGCCCCCCACCTTCCAAGGTGCTGGCTTCCAAAGCAGCCTCTCTCCTACCCCCACGCCTGGGGGGGCACACCCAGCAGTGCTCAGGGCTGACTCCTGGCTCTGCACTCACCCAGGGGACCTGGGTCGGCTGGAGGCGAGGCAAATGCCCTCCCCACTGTACTATCACTCTGCCCCACACCCCGGCCTTTCTTGCACCGCTTCCCAGTTTCTTCTTGTGCCCCTTTTATTTAATTTATTTGTAGCACTGCACTGTCCTCTCATTGTTCATCGATTTGCTTGAGCGGGCCCAGTAACATTGTGAGACTTGTTACTGTGTTTGGCATATCGAATATGTCATGGGGAGCTTGCCAGTCTTTGCCGTGCAGGGGAGATGCTCTCGGTAGCTTGCTGGGCTCTCCGAGGTGGGGAGGAATCGGACCTGGGCCAACCGGGTCGGCTGTGTTCAAGGCAAACGCCCTACCCACTGTGCTATTGCTCCAACAAATTTTGTTGGCAGAGCCTGGCAAGCTGCCTGTGATGTATTCGATATGCCAAAAACCAGTAATAATAACAATAACGGGTCTCATTCCCCTGACCCTGAAAGAGCTTCCAATACCCCACTGGGCTACACTAGCTCGCGACAGGGATGAATGGAAACGTTACTAGCACCCGCTCAGGCAAATTGATGTACATCAGGAAGACGAGTGATACAAGTGATAAAGTGATAAAATTTGGGCCACACCTGATGGTGCTCAGGGCTGCCTCCTGCTGGGACTCTGGGGAACATATGCCGTGCCAGGGATGGAACCCAGATCTGCTGTGTGCAAGGTGCGAGCCCCTTGCCTGCGGTGCTCCCTCTCCAGCACCCCCCTTCCCATGGCAGCTTTTATGGGGATCTAGATCCTTCCAGGCCTCCCTCCCTCCTGCAGCAGGCTGAGGGGAGGGGGTTCCTGCAGGGACTGTCCCCCTGGGGTAACCCTGGGGTTCTTCTGAGCTAAAACGCCATCAGAGGAAGGTGGAGGGAGAGGCAAAGGTCACCTGTGGCGGCGGGCATCTCCGTGGGCTTTGGGGAGGGTCCTGGGGACAGAGAGGAGCAGTGGAGAGTCACATGAGATCAGGAAGGGGGACGCCCTTGAACCGCAGCCGACCCGGAGGCTCTGTGCTCGGGGACAGCCCATCCAGCTTGGGATTCTGCATTTTCCTCCCAAGGCTGCTCTTTGTGGGAGTTCTCCTTTCTCCTGCCCTCACTGCCCAGCATGGGCAGGCCAGGCCGGCCACCCTGTCCCAGGGGTCCCCGCCCAGCGGGCAACAGAGTTTCTTGGAACATGGAGTTTCTTTTTCTTTTGGAGGAGGACAGCTCCCAAGCAATGTCCAGGGGGTCCAGGGTCCACCCCTGTGAAATGGGACTGGACTGTCTCTCCCCCCAGGGCCCAGTGGGGGCAGCATTGCGGAGCTCTGGGGCCCCCTGTCTCTGCCGCAATGCAGGGGGTCGGATGCGGGGTCTCAGGCCTCAGTCCTGCCAGTGCTCCCGGCCCCTGCTGCCTGCTGAGTCGTGTTTGTCCCTTTGGGACCCTTGCCACTACCTGTCCTCCACTTCCTCGGTCTCCCTGCTCTCTCTGGCAGAGACAAATGTCCTGTGTCCCTGTGAGGACAGGCTAACACCTGAGCCCGGGCAGCAGGAGTCTGCGCTACTTTGAGAAGCCCGAGTCTAACCCGGCTCAGAGGGCAAGCGCTGGTGTCCGCTCCTCCTCCCTTCCACCTCCTCTCCCTCCTCCTCCTCCCCCCCTCTTCCTTCTTCTCTTCCTTGTCCTCCTCCCCTTCATCATCCTCCTCCTCCTGTCTCCAGGCATGAGGCAGTTCTGAGACTTGCTGGGCATTTCCTGGCAGTCAACGTTGAAGCCAGAACAACACATCTGGCCCCTGCACCCTCCAACTCACCACCACACAGTGACCTGATCCGGCCTCAGGCATTACCTGGCGTTGGGGTGCCCACGACAGCCGATGACATTGGGTCTGGCAAGGCATCTGTGGGCAGAATCAAGCAGGGTGGAGGGGGGAGAGGTGGTGTCATGCACCCCATCTTCCTAGACCCCAGGCAGGCTAGCTTTCTCTTTCCCTCCCTCCCTCCCTCCCTCCCTCCCTCCCTTCCTTCCTTCCTTCCTTCCTTCCTTCCTTCCTTCCTTCTTCCCTCCCTTCCCTCCCTCCCTCCCTCCCTCCCTCCCTCCCTCCTCCGTCCCTCTGTCCTTCCTTCCTTCCTTCCTTCCTTCCTTCCTTCCTTCCTTCCTTCCTTCCTCCCTCCTTCCCGCCCTCCCTCCTTCCTTCCTTTCCTTTCTCCTTCCTTCCTTTATTCCTTTCTCCTATTGAGATTTGCTCTTTTGGGGGTTTTGTTTTGGTTATTTTTTGGCCCACATTTGGCGATGCTCAGGGCTTACTCCTGCCTCTGAACTCAGGAATTACCCCTGGTGGCGCTCAGGGGACCATACGGGATGCCAGGGACCGAACCTGGGTTGGCTTCATGCAAGGCCAGCACCCTCCCCACTGTGCTATCTCTCTGGTCCCAAAGCCACCGTTCACTTTAACCTGCACGTCAGCACGTGGAATCACTGTCCCTCTCTTTAATGTGCTGTGTGGTCCGAGCTAGCCTGGCTTGGGCAGCATCAGGGATAGTGTCCTAGATGGATGGAAGGGTTCCCCTAGCCCGGCAAGGAGAGGAGAAGGCTAAGACAGGCGCGTGGGGTGCCAGGGAAGGGTCTGGAAAGGTGGCAGGGCACAGCGCGGCCGCTCCTGAGCACTAGGTGTGGCCGGGCCCACCCTGCCCCCGGGACCCACCTGCGCAGATGACCCCGGCGTCCTCGTGGTGCCCGCAGTTGTGCGCGAACCACCCGCTGTGCAGACACTGCCACAGGCGGGCCTCAGTGCCCACGCACTCCACGTCGTCCAGAGCGATGGGCCCCTGGCCCCGGTGGAAGCGCGCACGCCCGGGGGCCGCCACGGCCCGGCCACAGCCCAGCTGCCCGCACACCACGTGGGCCTCGCGTAGGTCCCAGCCGTCATCACACACACTGCCCCAGGAGCCGTTGTATCGAAGCTCCACACGTCCCTCGCATCGGTGGCTGCCGTTGGCCAGGCGCAGGGTCACGTCTGCCGAGGGACATGCGGGTCACGACCCTGGGCGCTGGGCATGGCCTCTGCACTGACCAGCTCTCCGGGGCTCCCCTTCTTGGTGGCGGGGGACACTTATGGGGGATGGGTGCAAAGGGACTTGGGGTCTGATCTCATGTCAATGTGATTTGGGTTATTTTTTTTTCTTTTTCTTTTTGGGTCATGGGGAGCTTGCCAGGCTTTGCCGTGTGGGCAAGATACTCTTGGTAGCTTGCTGGGCTCTTGGAGAGGGGCAGAGGAATCGAACCCAGGTTGGCCATGTTGGCCACGTGCAAGGCAATCGCCTTACCCACTGTGCTATCGCTCCAACCCAATATGCCAAACACAGTAACAACAAGTCTCACAATTTGTTGTAAGATGTTACTGGTGCCCACTCGAGCAAATCGATGAACAACAGGAGGACCCCCCCTTCTTCTTTTTGGGTCACACCCAGCAATGCTCAGGGTTGCTCCTGGCTCTGCACTCTTGGCAGTGCTTGGGGGACCCTATGGGATGCCGGGGATCGAACCTGGGTTGGCCACATGCAAGGCAAACGCCCTCCCCGCTGGACTATCACTCCAGCCCTGGGACTTTCTTGCTTTGGGGGCTTCTTAAGTGGTGTTCAGGGGCACCGAGGCCACCCCTAGTGATACAGTGTCAACCAGGCTGGGCCATCAAGCCCTCCCAGGCCAGGATCGAGCTTGGGACTATTCCTGGCTACACCCAGCAGTGTTGGGGTTGGGGGTATGAACCAATGCTAGGGTTTGACTGGTGATTTCTGGGGTGCAACTCATGACCAGGGTTCGAACTTGGCAAAGCGAAAGTTCCCAACCACTGAGATTAACCCCCAGCTCACATGGGATCCTCCCTCAACGAGAGAGGTCAGAGTTGATCCCCCAAAAGCTACGAAGAAGAGGAAGGAATCAGGCCCCAATTGGCAGAGCGCCCCCCGCAGGCAACTGAAAGGAAGCCATGTGCGTGGTTTGGATCAAACATTTAAAGAGACAAAGTTGGGGGCAGGAGGGCATGGTGCCCGTTTGCCGGTACCGGGCACTGAATGCTCCAAGAGCAGGGTGGGTCTCCACCTCTGTCTGCAGTTGGGTCTCAGGGGGACACTGGGAAGTGTGGGGAGCCTGGCACGTGCCCAGCCTGGCCACGGCTGGCTAGCCAGGGGAGGTGAGGCCTCGGGCCTACCCGTGTCATTCTCGTCTTGCACCAGGGACTCGTAGGAGGCGAAGAAGCCAATGTTGGTGACGATGGCGTCGCTGTGGAAGACCACGGTCAGGCGATTGGAGGACGAGGTGAATATCGGGGTGGTGCCCGAGCAGAATCTCCCCAGGGAGAAAGACTCGCTCTGCGGGCCGTCGAAGATCTCGATGAAGTCGTAGGGACAGCCGTAGAAGTTTTCCATCCTGCGAGAAACGGCTCAAACTCAGCGACTCCCTGGCGCCATGTGTGGTCCCCTGAGCACACAGCCAGGAGTGGCCCCCCAAACCCAGAGCCCCAAAGCCCCCAAATAGACTCAGGCCCTGGGCTCCTTCCCAGCAAGCATTTTCTTTTCCTTTCTTTCTTTCTTTCTTTCTTTCTTTCTTTCTTTCTTTCTTTCTTTCTTTTTCTCTCTCTCCCACTCTTTTAGTTTGGGCCACACCCTGCAGTGCCCAGGGCTCACTCCTAGTTCTGTGCTTAGGGAACACTCCTAGCGGGCTCAGAGAACCATCTGGGGTGCCAGGGATCGAATCTGGGTGGGACGTTTGCAAGGCAAACCCCTCTCCCACTGTGTTCTCTCTCGGCCCCCTTCTCCTTGCGGGGGTTTCACACAAAGTAGAGTTGAGGGGTCTGGTGGGCTGGGGAATGGAGCTCAGGTCCTCACACCTGCTAGGCACATGTTCACCTCTGAGCTCCAGAGCCCAGCTCTGGGTTTTCAAAGACCCTTTCCCGGGAACAGGGACAGTCTCTCTTTAGTAAAAGAAAGCGGACATGCCTCCCAGTAACATTTCTTTTTGATCAGTATTCTTTCTTTCCCCTGGTCTTTAGGCTGCACTCAGCGGGTGGTCAGTGGTCACTCCTGGCAGTGCTCAGGGGACCCCACTCAGCGGTTGGTCAGTGGTCACTCCTGGCAGTGCTGGGGGGCGGGGAATGCCGGGGATTGAACCTGGGTCGGCGGCATGAAAGGCAAGTGCCCTCCCCGCAGTGCGATCACTCTGGCCCCTTGATCAGTCTTCTGAATCGGAGCTTCCCTCACATGGAAAGCCAGTTTTGGGGTTCTCTGAGAGTGGGGGGAGGGAGAGGGCGGCATGCGGGGGGACTCTGACCATGGCGACAGAGGCGCATCCACTCACTTCACCACGTCAAATGTGAGTTTGATGTGAGCCCTGCTGTCCACGCGAATGTCCCAGGCACAGACCACGTTGGTCGGGTACTTCTTGGGGTACCAGGGGCTGGAGAAGGAGCCCGAGGTGTTCGTGAGCAAGCCGCCACACTGGAAGTGTTCATCTGCAAGAAAGAACGATGCAGCTGCCTGAGGAGGTGCCTGGGGGCCCTGCTGTGGGCTTAGAGGGGCGTGTGGGACTGGATGAACAGCCGGGCTGGGGGGACCTTAGAGGATGTCCACCCACAGGGCGGCCTCAGCAGCGTGTCTTGTCCAGCGGACAGGCTCAGGGGACAGGATCGGAGGAGCCAGCGCAGGTGACACGGACACCCACGCGGCCTTCCTTGCCCTGCACTGCAGAGTGACCCCTGACTCTCTGTGGTCCAGGCCAGCGTGGCTGGAAGCATCCTGGCCCCGGGGGCTGGGGGATTCCACCTGTTAGAGGGCCCCTCCGTGCCGAGACCTCTGGGAGGAGGGCTGGGCAGCCAGCAGGGCTGAGGCAGAGCTAGGTACCTGTCGGGGGCCCGTCGCCGCTCAGGTCTGTGGAGAAACCAGAGGACAGTGACACTGTGAGAAAGATTTTGATCCCGAATGCATCCCTGTACCCCAGTGAGGCCCGAGCGGGGACTGGGCCTGGCCTCAGCCCTGCGCACTCTTGGTTCTCCTGGGGCCTGGGGGCTACTTCATCCCCTCTCCCGACCCCTCTCCCTGTGGCACCCCTTCCCGGCCTGGGAGCAGTTGACCAGCTGCTTGGCCTGTGCCCAGTGCAGGAGGGAGGACCACCCGCGAGTCCCAGACGCTAGAGGAGGGGCAGTGGGGAAGCGCCGTACCTGTGGATTCCAGGTTCGAACTGGCATCAAGGCCTGCTCAGGCAGGAAATGGAGAGAAATGGACAGACGAATAGGGACGAGTTAGAAACATATACGGTCATGGTCAAGCTCAGCAACTTTGGGGAAAGAATTCGGAACAAGGTCCGCCGGGAAGTTGGGAGTGCAATGCTGAGCCCAATCACCCCAGGGAGTGCTGGGCAGCCCCTTACGCTGCACCCCCTGACCACTGGGCTTTCCAGCCAGGCGACGGTGGCTGGTCTTTCTCTGATTTGGGTCTATGATGGATGGACAAAGCTGCCGTCAGCCTTCCACATCCCGAAGGCGATATGTAGGGAGCCGGACCTCGGGGGCACCTGGGACATGGTTTTGTTCCATTATCAATGACAAGAAGGGGCTGGAGTGATAGCATAGCGGGGAGGGCGTTTGCCTTGCACGCGGCCAACCTGGGTTCAATCCCCAGCATCCCCAAGCACTACCAGGAGTAATTCCTGAGTGCAGAGCCAGGAGTAGCCCCTGAGCATCGCTCGGTGAGACCTAAAAAGCAAGCAAGCAAACAAACAAACAAACTAAAAAACTCCAAAAAAAAAAATGGGAGGAGGGTGGCCTCCATGTGATGTGATCAGAGCCGGGAGGTCCCACGAGGCAACGCACCTGCTGCTTTGGGCCACGACGTGGCCTGTGTTCAACACATTCTGGGCCCTGGCCCGGCACCCCATTCTGCAGGGAGGGGTTGGAGCCTTCCCTCTCCCCTCCCCGGCCACTGATTGGACGTCAGGCGTCACCCCCCAACCCAATCACCACAACTGTCCACGCGTGTCGGGACTCTCCAACCCCGGTGATGGAGATGCCAGAAAGCAATCTCCTCTGCAGAACATTCTGGAACGTCAGTCTGAAGCCTGCTGGCGAGGAGGCCTCTGCCCGGAGGCGGCTGGGGCGGATAGGGGCACTCACGGGGCTCCCCGGACTCACCCGAGCAGACGACGCTGGCGTCCTCGTGGTGGCCGCAGTTGTGGGAGAACCAGCCGTTGTGCAGACACTGCCACACCTTGGCCTCGTGCCCCAGGCACTGCACGTCGTCCAGCAGGATGTGGCCTGTGCCGCCGTCGAAGTAGCTCTGCGCGGGGGCCGAGAGCGCCTCGCCGCAGCCCAGCTGCCGGCACACCACCCCGGCGTCGGCCAGGTCCCAGCTGTCGTCACACACGGTGCCCCACGTGCCGTTGTAGGACACCTCCACGCGGCCCTCGCAGCGGTGGCTGCCGTTCACCAGCCTCAGGGCCAGGCCTGTGGGGGGCACCGGCCTCTGAGCGGGCGAGACCCCCTGACCTCTCGCTGCTGCCCCTCGAGGCTGGGCAGGCCTGGTGCGCAGTCCTGGCTGGTGCCAAGGGAAACCAGGGGAGGGCGGAGGCAGCGCGGCCCCCCACGGGGCACCAGGCGGACATGCTTTGTACCCTACCCCCATCCCCCGATTGTAAGCCACAAGGAGCCCAGGAAGGAAGCTTAGAGGCTAGGAGAGGCGGAGAGATTCCGCCGGGAGGAGAATCGGGAGGAGAATCACCGAGAATCGGGAGGAGGGTGACCGCGGGGGGCGGGACTGCCTGTGCTCCAACAGGGAAGCCCCGTCCCTCGCAGTTGGGCTCTACCCTGCACAGTTCATAGAAGACGGACACTCAGACTCAGTTTCTTCTTTTGGATGGGTGGGTGGGGTCTCCCAGGCAGTGCTCAGGAGGCCCCAGGGAAGCCCCCCGGGGGATTCTTGGCCAAATGTGAGGCTCAAGGATGTGGTGTGGCATGAGCCCTATATTTTGGGGGTCCCCTGGGCCACCCCACGATGCTCAGGAGCCCTGGAGGGCCGGAGTGGAAACAAGGTGGGCACAGGCAAGGCCGCACCCTGACCACTGGTCTCACTTTCTTCCTCACTTCCTCACCGGGTGGGTGGTTTTGGGAGGACTGGCAGAGCGGGGGAGGGAGTGAGGTGAGGGGACAGTATTGTCTTGGGACCGGGGGGGGGGGTCACAAGGGAGGGTGACCTGGAGGTCCCTCCTCTCCTCTGGGGGTAGCAGGGGGCCCTGTCCCCGCGGAGGGTGCCGCACACCCACCGCTCTCCTTCTCGTCTTGCTTCAGGGTGTTGTAGAGCGCATAGAAGCCCGTGTTGGTGACCATGGCGTCGCTCCTGAAGACGGCGGTGATGAGGTTGGAGGAGGAGTAGAAGGTGAGCTCCGTGCCGGCACAGTACCTGCCCATGGACAGCGGGGCCATCTCCCGCCCGTCGAACACCTCGATGAAGTCGTAAGGGCATCCGTAGATGTCCTCTAGCCTGGGGGGAGGGGAGATGACAAAGCAGGGTGGGTGGGGCCGGGGAGGTGGCTCAGGACTGAGTCACTCGCACGTGCAGGACCCAGGCTTGCTCCCCAGGCCAGCTGGACCCGGGCAAGGCCATATTCGGGGTCTCAGACGCAGAACTCACGGGCCAGGGGCCAAGGTGACCCGGGGTGGCAGGGAAGGGAGAGGGCGGCAAGGTGCGGAACAGTTTCATGAGAAAACTGTCACTGTCACTGTCCTCCCGTTGTTCATCGATTTGCTCGAGCGGGCACCAGTCACGTCTCCATCATGAGACTAGTTGTTACTGTGTTTGGCATATCAAATACATCACGGGTAGCTTGCCAGGCTCTGCCGTGCGGGCGAGATACTCTCGGTAGCTTGCCGGGCTCTCTGAGAGGGGCGGAGGAATCGAACTCGGGTCGGCCCTGTTGGCTGCGTGCAAGGCAAACGCCCTACCGCTGTGCTATCGCTCCAACCCATGAGAAAACAAGAAACGTTTCACTGGGAGTGAAACGGCTCATTTAAAACACAACGTGGATTCTCCAAACCCACACCGTGTAGCCGGGCTCAGGAGAAGCTGAAATGTGATGAGACGAAGCCACGGTCATCTAGGCTGTCTCTGTCCCAGTGCCTGGACTCTGGGGCTCATAGGAGGCGGCTGCTGTGAACGGAGGTGCACTGAGCAGACCCCCAGCTGTGATCCCACTAGTGGGCAGGGGTGCCCCGATGGGGGACAATCTAAATGTTGCAGAACAAAGACTCATGTTCTCTGTGTAGCTGTGCACCTATGTGTGCATGTCCACACACACACACACGTGTATATGTGCAGGACAGGGATATGTGCACACTGCCATGAGCACATGCAAACAAGTGTGTGTACACACGTATGTGTGTAATGTGTGTGTGTGTGTGTGTGTGTGTGTTTGGTGGGAGGTTTTAAATCATTGTCAGTTTGAGAATCACTGGAGCAAGTAATAAGTAGCTTTAGATCCTAAAAACTCAAATATCAGTAAATATGTTTCTTTTTTTTTTTGCTTTTTTGGGTCACACCTGGCGATGCACAGGGGTTACTCCTGGTTCTGCACTCAGGAATCACCCCTGGCAGTGCTCAGAGGACCCTATGGAATGCTGGGAATCGAACCTGGGTTGGCCGCGTGCAAGGCAAACGCCCTACCCACTGTGCTATTGCTCCAGCCCCAAATATGTTTTTTTTTTAATGTCTCATCTAGAGTAATATAAATGTCAAAATCTCCAGAAGCAATGCATTAAGCTCTGGTCTAGGCCAATTTTGTTGTTGTTGTTGTTGTTTTGTTTTGGGGCCACACCCAGCGATGCTCAGGGGTTACTGTGGTTCTGTAATCAGGCACCACTCCTGGCGGTGTTAAGGGGACCATGTGGGATGCCGGGAATTGAGCCTGGGTCAGCCGTGTGCAAGGCAAGTGCCCTCCCTGCTGTGCTATTGCTCCGGCCCCTGATGATGGAAGGGTCCTTAAACTCAGAAAATCAGATCAAGTTTGACCCAAAATGTCCAAGGACTTGCTGGTCTCACAATTTTCTGCTGAATGTCCGTAACCTCCAATCACACAGTGAACCCCAACCCCTGTGTAGTGTGAGGTGGGAACGGGGGAAGGGCAGAGGCCTTGTGAGTGGCATCGGTGCCCCTAGAAAGAGACTGATGGGGGTGCTGGCTCACCTGGTTTGATTCCTGACACTGCACAGGGTCCCCTAGTCACATCCTGGAGTCATGCTTGAGCACAAAGACAGGAATCTCTCCTGAACACTGCCCCTCCCCCCAAGAGGCTGAGAACCCCCCTCTCCACCTTTGCGAGCCATTGGCAGGACCCCACTGAGGCTTTTTAATTTCATTTTTTGTTTTGGAGGTCAAGCCCGGCGATGCTCAGGGGTTCCTCCTGGCTCCGCACTCAGGAATCACTCCTGGCAGTGCTCAGGGGGCCTTATGGGATGCCGGGGATTGAACCTGGGTCCACCTTGTGCCAGGCAAGTCCCCCCCCACACACACACTGTACCATCACTCAAGCCTCCTGCTACAATTTTTTTTAACAGACTTACAAACTTTTGTGAGGGCTGGAGCGATAGCACAGCAGGTAGGACATTTGCCTTGCATGCGGCCACCCAGCTGACCCAGGTTCGATTCCTCCGCCCTTCTCGGAGAGCCTGGCAAGCTACCGAGAGTATTTCGCCCACATGGCAAAGCCTGGCAAGCTCCCTGTGACGTATTGGATATGCCAAAACACAGTAACAAGTGTCACAACAGAGACATTACTGGGTGTGCTCGAGCAAATCGATGAACAACGGGGTGACAGTGACAGTGACATTTCAGTCATACAATGATTGGGTACCCATCTCTCCACCAGTGCCCGTTCTCCACCACCAATGTTCCAAGTATCCCTCCCGCCACCCCCACCCAATCCCCGCCATCCTCCGCCTCTGTTGGCAGGCACATTCCCTCTTACTCTCTCTCTCCTTTTGGGTGTTATGGTCTGCAATACAGGTACTAAGTGGCCTTCATGTTCGGTCCATCGACTTCTTTCAGCCCGCATCTCCCATCCCTCAAGCATCATCTACTTAGTGGTTCCTTTTCTATCCCCCCGCCAGCCCTTTCCCCCAGCATGTGAGGTCGGCTTCCAAGCCGTGGCCCCTACTGCAGTTTTGATCTTGAACTTTCCAGAACCCCCGAGGATCCCATCCCCATCATTTCTGAAGCTGCCTAGTGTGCAGTGTATGAGGCTGCCCGGGCGGGAGCGGGGATGGACGCAGGGTGACCAGCGGCGACACTTACTTCAGACTCGGGATCTTCAGTTCGATGTGGAACTTCTCCGCCACGTGTATCACCCAGACACACTCCACGCTGGTGGGGTAGTTCGAAGGGTACCACGGGCTGGAGAAGGAGCCCGAGAGACTGGACATGATGCCTCCACAAGCGTTGCTTCCTCCTGTCAGAGCAGACAGCGGCGCTTGGCCTCAGCAGCCCGTGACGCGGGGGCTTTCCTGTGGAAGAATCTAGAATTCCATCAAGGGCAGCAGAGGAGCCCCCAAGGGAGACTGTGCTGGTGGAGAGGGACCAGGCTCCATCAGGGCAGGTGCCCCTAAGGGGGAGCCAGGGGGGACCCTGGCGCTGATTGGGTATGTGTGCATGTCTGTGCATGTGTGTATGTATGTGCATACATGCATGTGTGTGTGCATGTCTGTGAATGTGTGCATGTGTGTGTGCATGTATGTTCATATGTACATGTTTATGTGAATGTGTGTATGTGTGTGCGTGCATACGTGCGTGTGCATGTGTGTGTGTGTGTGTGTGTGCGCGTGTGTGCTTCTCTCTGTGCTCTCCCCACTTCCTGCCCTACAAATCCGCCCTATTCAGATGTTGACAGGGAGAGAGTCCCTTGCACCAGTTCCTTCCCTGCAGGCCACCAGGACAGGAGGAGGCCACCCAGCCTTTACAGGTCCCACCCTGCCCACCAGGTGCCTCCCCCCCAGCCCAGTGCTTGTCCCCGGCAGTTACCTTGAGGTGGAGGGGCCGATGGAAGGACCACTGTGAAAAGGAAAGTACCGTCGGGAAAACTGATGCCGTCGGGGAAGGTGACACAGTCGGGGTGCAGACACTGGGAAGCTGACATGATCTTGTTTCCCCCTTCCCTGCCCTTCCCCCTACTCCCCTCCCACCTCCTCCCCTTCCTCCCCTCCATCTCCCTTCCCTTCCCCTCCCCTCCCCTCTTCCTCTTGCCTCTTTCTGGCCAATGCGGTGGAAGCTTCTGATTCCCGCCCGCCCTTTACTCTCTGCTTGGCAGAGTTCGGGGTACCATTTCCCCTGGGGAAATCTGACCCAAGGCCTTGCCTGATCCACTCGGCGCCCCCCGGAGAGTGTGGGCCATTGCTGACCCCTGGACGTGGCCTCAGGGACTCCAGGCCGCCCTCTGGCACCAGGAACCTTTGATGCTCCCCTGCTTTTCTAGGGCCTGGGCCCCTGCCCCCGAGACTGACCTCCTCTCTCTGCGGGCGTATGGGGAAGTGGCCGTCGGTCCTACCTGGGGGCGCGGAGGCCAGCTCTGGAGCCCACTCCCCAGCGTCTGTGGCAGGAAGAGGAGCTGGGTTCAGGGAACTGAGATTAAAGCTCGCTCGAAGACAACGTGGCGGCAGGTCCCGAGCGTACCACGAGCATGGCCAGCTGGGACCGGGCTCAGGATATAGGACGGGGCGTGGGACCAGCATGTCTCTCTGTCTGCCGGGAGGGTCCCGCATTCGCACTCGGGGTGGGGGGGGGGCTTCACCCTGCTCCCGGCACCTCCCCCCGCCCCATCCCTCAGCGGCTGCCGTGTGTAACCTCAGACAGGAGCTGCTACCTGAGCAGATGACACTAGCGTCCTCGTGGTGGCCGCAGTTGTGGTCGGACCAGCCGGAGCTGGGACACTGGCCCAGATGGGTCTCGCTTCCGGAGCACTGAATGTTGTCCAGGACGATGTCGCCGGAGCCCGGGCCGAAGTGGGCCTTTCCGGGGGCGGCGATGGCCCAGCCGCAGCCCAGCTGCCTGCACACCACTTTGGCCTCGTTCAGGTCCCACAGGTCGTCACACACGGTGCCCCAGGCCCCGTCGTGCAGCACCTCTAAGCGTCCCGAGCACCGTCCAGAGCCGCCCACCAGCCGCAGCTCCGGGCCATTATCTAAACAGAGTAAGATGGGTTTCCACGTCAGGAGGGGGATGGAGGAAGCTAAGGCCAAGCTGACCCCAGCACGGCATGAGGGACTTCGGGCTGGAGACCGGAGCAGGCTGGCCCTCTGGCCCTTCCCCCCGGGCTGTGGAACTGTTGAGGTGTTCTTTGGATCCCAGGACCACTATGTCTGGATTGTAAAACGGGGGTGGGGTACCAAGCGACTGTGTCTCCGCGGGCTGGGGTGATGGGTCACTGTGTCAAGTGAGCACTCAGCGGGCTGTGGCCGGACACTGCCAAGCCGGGGGCTCTAGCTGCTATGGTGCGCAGGTCCTGGCCAGTTCGTGAACAAATGTGGATTTATTTATTTGTATTTTGGGTTTGGGGCCACGCCTGTGGTGCTCACTGATGGCTCCTGGCTCTGCGCTCAGGGGTCACTCCTGGTGGGGCTTGGGGTGCTGAGGGTCCGACCTGCTGGTCACATGCAAGGCAAGTGTCCTTCCCGCTATACTATTGTTATACTATTGCTCTGTCTTCCCCCCAAAAGTGTAGATTGACTCCCCTGTGGAGACCTGGGTGGCAGGAGCATCTATGATTCCAAATGGAAATAACTCTTTGGGGGTTGCCTGAGCGTGACCAGATAATGTGCCCTGGGCCACCCTTCCTTCCCTCACTGGTGCAAGGCTCTGCCTGCCCAGCCACGCTCTCTCCTGACATCTATCCTCCCTCTGGTGCTGGGGCCTCACTTCTCTCTGCTGTGGCCCCCTTCAGCTACACTCACCCCCTTCACCTCTGCAAGCCCACCCAGTCCCCCTCTGCCCTGCAGGACTCCTCCCACTATCTCTCTTTCTGAGCTCTTGCCTCTTCATTCCCGGTTCCTGTTGAAGCCCCCAAGCCCAATTGTTTTCCTTGTTCCCATCACCCCCCATGCACCCTACTGGAAACTCCACCTACGCCCTCCTCAGTGTTCTGAACACATGCAACGCCCCCCCCCCCAACCCCCGCCACCTGGCAGGGCCTTATGGGAGGGTCTGTGATGCCGAACCAAGGAGTGAGCTGAGGTTCAAGTCCTGAACCTGATCGAGGCACCCCAGGGCTAGATACCTGTCCTGCTGAGGAAGAGCAGGCACGAGGGGCTTCCTTCACAGGAACGACCCCGCCTAGCTTCCCAGGAACCTGGCTTACGGGGGCCCCTATATGTCTGAGGCCCTGCCAATGAATGGAGAACAGTGCATTAGCTGGGTGAGAACTGCACCTGAGCCTGGATGGTCACCCCCCACCCTGGGCCTCACATTTGAGCTAGTGTAGGGCCACACACACACACACACACACACACACGGCCAGGGCAGCCGGGCTGGCAGAGGGGAGGGTGGTTTCAAGGGTTCAGCACTCTGGCCAGTTCCTGGCGGGGGGAGGGGGGGTGGGTGGGGGGCTGCAGCACTGGGTGCTGCCACAGGGTTTTTTTTTGTTTTGTTTTGTTTCTTGGGTCACACCCAGCGATGCACAGGGGTTCCTCCTGGCTCTGCACTCAGGAGTTACTCCTGGCGGTGCTCAGGGGACCGTATGGGATGCTGGGAATCGAACCCGGGTCGGCCGCGTGCAAGGCAGACGCCCTCCCCGCTGTGCTGTCTCTTCAGTCCCACCACAGGACCTTTCTTAGCACACAGGGTTTCTCCTGATAAAAGCGGCTTGTCTGGACCTGGGCAACGGGAGAGTGGGGAGGGCATTTGCCTTGAATGCTGTTGACCTGGATTTGATCCCCGGCACCCCATGGGGTCCCCCAAACACAGCAGGCAGGAAGCCCTGAGCACTGTTGGGTATGGCCCAAAATTAAACAAAAAATAAACAAAAATAGAAGGAACAGTTTGCCCAGCCCATCCTTGCCCACTTATAGAGCTGTTCTGTTGCACGAAGGTGCACCATTGTGTGTGTGTGTCTGTGTGTGTGTGTGAGTGCACACAGGTGAGCGTATAGGGGTGTGTGTACATAGGTATGTAGGTGTCTGTGCGTAGGTGCATGTATAGGAGTGTGGAGGGGGTGTGGAGGGATGTGTGTGGGGGGTGATTCTGGAATAATAAAGCACCTGCAATCCGGCCATGCGCTCACCACTGAGCCACATCCCTGGCCCCAGTGTGGGTGTTTTCGAAACAGAATCCAGGTCTCTGCTAACAGGGGAGTCGTGATTAGAAAACTTTCTGTCCTTTAAAGACCACACACCGCCTACCCGGTTCCCTGTCGCCCTGTGGGATGGCGTTGAACAGCGCGTAGAAGCCCGTGTTGGTGATCATGGAGTCGCTTCGGAACACCACGGTCATCATGTCCGAAGAGGAGAAGAACATCACGGCCACGGAGGCACAGAACTTCCCCATGGACAGCGCGGCGATCCTGGGGCCATCGAAGATTTCAACCGAGTCGTAGGGGCAGCCCAGGATGTCCTCCAGCCTGGGAGTCCACATGGAACAGGGCGGCAGGTTAGAGCATCCATGAAATTGAAAGGAACACGACGTTGACATCAGAGGTTCCCAGGATTTAGACTTTGAGGAACCTACGAGGAACCTTCCTCATGCCTGACTTCCAGATTCCTGTTTCCTCTGAGCATGTATCAGGCTCCTGGCTACAGTTTGGCACACTGGCACACTGTCCTCCCGTTGTTCATTGATTTGCTCGAGCGGGCCCAGTAACATCTCCATTGTGAGACTTGTTGTTACTGTGTTTGGCATATTGAGGGTGAGATACTCTCGGCAGCTTGCCGGACTCTCCGAGAGGGGCGGAGGAATCGAACCTGACTCTTCCAGGCCAGCCAAGCACAAGGCAAACGCCCTACCGCTGTGCTACAGTTTAGTAACTGAAAGTTTCAAGTCTTTGGCCAATCACAAGCAATAAGGAACAGCAGAGAATGCTAAGGGACTCAGCAAATTGCTTCTTTCTTATGGGCCCCCGGGACACTCTAGCAGTGCTTAGCCTGCATGTGGGCTGATAGCTTGGGTGGTAGGCCTGGGGAGGTGGTGTTGGTTGGGCTCCTGGTGATCGGGGGCCGCCAAGGCCATATCTGAGATGTTTAAGGCATGGAATGCCAGGGATTGAATTTGGGGCTTCACACATGCAGACCATGTGCTCTAACCCAATGTGCTCACCCCTGGCCCTGAAAATGCATTCTATTTTTTTTTGTGGGGAGCCTGCCTGGCATTGCTCAGGGGTTACTCCTGGATCTGCACTCAGGAATTATTACTGGTCACGCTTGGGGGACCCTGTGGGATGCTGGGGATCAGACCTGGGTTGGCTGCCTCCAAGGCAAATGCCCTGCCTGCTGAAGTATCTCTCCGGCCCCTGAAAATACTTTTTTTTAATTTTCACTTTTTGGTTACTCCTGGCTCTGCACTCAGGAATTACTCCTGGCGGTGCTCAGAGGACCATATGGGATGATGGGAATCGAACCCGGGTTGGCCGCGTGCAAGGCAAAGGCCCTATCCGCTGAGCTATCGCTCCAGCCCCTGAAAATATGTTCTTAATAGCCAGATCACCACAATGAATGTAGATCACAGCCAGCATTTCCCACCTCTGTGTTTTGCTCCAAACCCAAGTTCCTGGGGAGACAAAGCATGACCTTAAACTAAAAATGGTGGGCGACACAGTCTTTGCACTTTGGCAGTTATTCACCAGGGTGATTGGGAGGGGGCGGGTAACTGGCCACACGAGAAGCTTTGGCAATCTTAGTCTCAGGGTCTCCCATCGTCACAAGTTATTTATGGGTATGTGGTCTATGGAGAGACAATGTTTCTAGAATGTTCCGGGAGGCAGGGTCTGTCCATAGCTCTGTGGATGATAACGTGGACACACACAGGTTTTATCAGTGCTGTTGTGTTGGGAGGCTGACACGGGGCATATGCCGTGCAGCACTTGTGGATGGAATCATGTGTGGGTCAAGCATCTTGTATGTGACATCAGACAGATCATGACATTGAGCCTGGGACAAACTCTCTGAGTTCGGGGGCTGCATCTCTGAAGGGGACAAATGCCTTTCTCTGAGTCGCCCTCATGACAGTCTCCAGAGCCCGGGCACGTAGCCAGCACACCAGCGACTGTTCCAAGTTAAGGAGATTTAAAAAGACGACAGCGACATCGAAAAGTTTACTCTTCTGTGTCAGAGATGAGGTGATGCCTCTATTAACTCCTTTCATTTTTCAGGAACATCAAGAAGATGTGGAGGGGCCAGGAATATGGCTCAGTGGCTGAGAGGTCCTGGGTTCGATTCCAGTATGGCACAAACAAAGCAAGCAAAAATGCAGAGCCTGGAACTGGAGTGGGGGGCTCCCGGGTGTAGAACCTCTTACTGTCGGCTTAAAGTTCAGAAAAAGGTTAAAGGAGAGTTAAAGAGCATAGATGTTGGGACCCCCAGGGACCACAAGGGGTCCGTGGGGGTCCATGACACATCTAAAAAGGGGGATTTAAATTTCATGACTTCATCTTTCTAACAGCTGCATAATATTCCACTGTGTAGATGTATCAAAGTTTTTTTTAAACAGTTATCTGTTCTCGGGCACTTGGGCTTTTTCCAGATTTTGGCTATTGTAAACAGTACTGCAATGAACATATAAGTGCTAATGTCATTTCTACTATACTTTTTTTTTTTTGTATCCCTGGAATATATTCCCAGAAGTAGTATTGCTGGGTCAAATGGGAGCTCAATTTCTAATTTTTTTGAGAAGCGTCCATACTGTTGAGAAGGGGGATTCAATGGTGACATTTTTAGGAAAAAGAAAACATGACAAGAAGGTTAAAGCAAATATGCTAATAAACATATTAGCATATCTGGTTCTTTTTCAAGCTGCAGGTAACTCATGGGATGCTAGTACAGAAATTCTCCTCAGACTTCACCTAGCAAAAAATTTTTCTTCTTCTTTTGTTCTACCTCTGAATGTTATCCACTGAAAGAAATACCTTTAGTATGGTTTTGCCAACCCATACTTTCGGATTTTTCTCCGAGAGAGGTGCCCTTACTTCAGATTGGGGATCATGAGCTCGATGCGGAAGTTCTTATCCACGTGGATCTCCCACACGCACTGCACGTCGGTCGGGTAGCTTTCTGGGTACCGGGGGCTGGAGAATGAGCCGGACGAGCTGGAAATGACCCCTCCGCAAGAGTTATTGCTTCCTGGGGTGAGAGGGAGAAGACGTTACCTGCGTGGTCCACACAGTGACTGAGAGGGGTCAGCTGCAAACCCCCCGGGTGGACAGAGAGGCAAAGGTGACCACACAGCTCTCGAGTGATTGCTGGGCCCCGGGGGGTTCTGCAGGAGGCGCCTGCCTCTCCCCGTCCAGTAAGGAAAGTGGCATCTGTGGTCAGCGTCCCCTTTTCCTAGCGGGGAGGAAGGGCTCCTGCAGGGTGGGAGGGACCCAGGAACTCTGAAACGGGAGACCAGAGGTGCACTGCAGGGGCCGGGGAGCAAAAAGGTCTAAAAATTTGGGTCCGAGGGCTGGAGCAATAGCATAGCGGGTAGGGCATTTGCCTTGCACGCGGCTGACCCGGGTTCGATTCCCAGCATCCCATAGGGTCCCCCAAGCACTTCCAGGAGTGATTCCTGAGTGCAGACCCAGGAGTAACCCCTGAGCATCGGCTGGGTGAGACCCAAAAAGAAAAAATAATTGGGGTCCGAGGAAGCAGGGGAAAAGGAAGGGGACACTGGTCTGATTGGGGAGGTGACAGCCGAGCCCGCCTTTAAGGCTGTCCTGCTGGCACTTAGCCGCTAGGGCACGTGTCTGTGGGACATCCCTCCCACATCAGAGTCGTTGCAGTAACCCGCAGATATTCTCTCACGATGCGCTTAGCATGGCAGAGAGACGGCACCTCCACCCTGACCCAGAGGAGCTCGGGGACGCCGCTGCCTTCGTCGGCTGGCCCCTAACCAGGACGCCACTTCACCTCTTACTCTCTCTTCTCACTTAGCTCTCCAGAACCTTCCGTCACCAGGTTCCTGGGCTTTCCCGGGAGAAGAGGTGACGAGTCCCCCCCACCCCCGCCCAGTCCTTGTAGTGGGGGTGGGGGGTTACACACAGGCTGACCCTGGAACCCCAGGGGCCTGGATTTCCCAGAGTTTCTCCTCATGGCGAGACCCTCAGGACTGACCCAGAGTCGGGGGACAGGGTGGCCAGCCGCCAGAGTGCCACTTCCTTTTCTGGCCGGGAAGGAGGCTGAAGGTGAGCCAAGTCAGCGTCCTCAGCCCCTGAAATCCCAGCGCCTCGTCCCCCCACAGGAGAGGGCCGGGGGCCTCCCCGATGGCCTTCCGCCCTCTCAGATGGGGCCTGCTTGTAGCAGAGAAGAGTCGACCCCTATCCTCTCCCACTGCTCAGGCTGGGCCACGTCCAGGACACCCCCAGCCCCTAACACCAAGAAACTCCAGTCTGGGAGTTTCCGTGCCCGCGTGATCAGTGTCTACCTGTTGCGTGATCCGGAGAAACTGTGGGAAGACCTAGAAGGGGAGAGAAGGGAGACAGTGGTGACACCCAAGGGAGACAGAGTGAGATTCAGCTGCATCCCCTGAGGCTTGCTTTGCATAGAGTGAGCCTAGGCGGGGGTCCCCGTGAGGATGCCCATGGGCCCAGGGCCCCCGTGACGGCTGAAGCTAGGTCCTCCCTAGGCGGGCACAGCAGTGGCTAAGTGTGATTGACAGATCAGGCACCAGACGGGACGAGCAGCAGCCGACAGTAACCAGAGCAACGGCAAGTAGACGCAACGGCGGCCCGCGGGTAACTTCCCTCAGCATATCGCCGGAGATGCTGGGGTTGGAGGCCACTGGGGCCTGGCTGGGGGCATTGGGGAGCATTGCAGCCGCAAGACGGGGTGCTCCCTTCTTGGGCTGGCCCTTTAGGACCCCCACCCACTAAGAGGAGGGAGAGAGCAGCAGAGGCGGCTGGACAGGGGGACACTCGGGGGCCACCTCTCAGTATGGGGGTTCAGACACGTGTGTTGCCGGGGAGGTGATAGCTCTTACCCACAGCCCTACTTCAGTGCTGACGTTGGCGCCACTCAGCTGGTAAAGGACCGTCTGCCTGGAGACGGACTGAGTGGGTCAGCCCCCCGGAAGATGACCTCGCCACCCGCCCCTCAGTCTGTCCTATGAGATGGTCCATAAACCGCCTCTCTGCAGGGTCAGCAGGGGGCCGGACACCACCCCGTCTTCACACTCAGCTCTGAGACACGGGGCCAGTGCGGTGTGGTCAGTGATGTCAGAGTCCAAGAACACCAGCCACTTGGGGCCAGGTTTCCCCCAGCTGGTCCTGGGGCTCCCACATGGCACTGTGCTTATGCCTCAGTTTACCTCTCTGGGACATAGGAATAATACAAGTCCCTCCCTGAAGGGGCGATGATGCACTCTAATAGTTATGTGCAGGAAGGGCTAAGAATATGTCAGCTTCTTAGCTCTCATCTGTATTTGATGGTATTATTATTATTATTATTATTATGTTATTGTTGTTTTGTTGTTGTTGTTGCTGCTACTGTTTGTGTTCAATGAGAAAACCATGGATGGGTCTGTGGCAATCAGACAGCAGGTAGGGGGCTTGCCTTGTATGTGACTGGCCGTGGTTCGATTCCTGGTGCCCCATGTGGTAGGTTCCCTGAGCCCTGCAGAACCAGGAGTAAGCTCCGAGCACCCCTCCCCACACCAGACCCAACCAAAGCATGGACATACCTGAAGGTGTGGGAGGGGGCAGGCCTTCTGCATCTGAATGTGAAAGAAAGGCCAGAGGTCACGCTCTTTCTGTCGGGCGTGGAGAAGGGGGGTCACAGGGCATGGTTGTCTCAGTAAGTAGGGCACCCGGAGCATCACCACATTCCCGGACTCCAGGGTCTTAGACCTGGGGGAGGGCGTGCGGGAGCCACCGGGGTCAGTTCTATCCCCTCAGCCAGGCTGGGTTGGCCTTGGATGAATGGATGGTTGGTAGATGGACAGCTCGATGGATGGATGGATGAATGGATGGACAAATGGACAGATGGGTGGATGTGTGAACAGAGGATAGACCGGTAGAGAGAAGGAGGTGGTGGGATGAATGATGACATGAACAGATAGCTGGCTGGATGGCTAGCTGGCTGGCTGGCTGGCTGGACAAATGGTCAGATGGACGGATGGATGGATGGATGGATGAATGGATGGATGGATGGACAAATGGACAGATGGATGGATGGACGGATGGACGGACGGACGGACGGACGGACGAATGGATGGATGGATGGACAAATGGACAGATGGGTGGATGTGTGAACAGAGGATAGACTGGTAGAGAGAAGGAGGTGGTGGGATGAATGATGACATGAACAGATAGCTGGCTGGCTGGCTAGCTGGCTGGCTGGCTGGCTGGCTGGACAAATGGTCAGATGGACGGATGGATGGATGGATGGATGAATGGATGGATGGATGGACAAATGGACAGATGGATGGATGGACGGATGGACGGACGGACGGACGAATGGATGGATGGATGGACAAATGGACAGATGGATAGATGTGTGAACAGAGGATAGACCAGTAGAGGGAAGGAGGTGGTGGGATTAATGATGACATGAACAGATAGCTGGCTGGCTGGCTGGCTAGCTGGATGAATGGTTGGATGGACATATGGACGGATGGATGGATGGATGGATGGATGGATGGATGGATGGATGGATGGATGGACAGATGGCTGGCTGGCTAGCTGGCTGGCTGGCTGGCTGGATGGATGGATGGATGGATGGACGGACGGACGGACGGCTGGATGGATGGATGGATGAACAGATGGGTGGATGTCTGGGAAGATGGGTGAATGGGGGGATGAGTGATAGATGGATGCACAGATGACTAGATGGGAGGACAGATGGACAGATGGCTGGACTGATGGGCAGTAGATGGAGAGATGGATTGCAGATAGATGACTCACGAGGTAAATGATGGGCATGAATGGATGCCCAGGGGGTGGATGGACAGATGGACGGATGGACAAGAATCCCAGCTGAGAGGCGTTCTTTCAGAGTGCCCTCCCCCACGACACCAGGAGGACTGCAGGAGAGGGGACAGGCTACCTGAGCAGATGACGCCGGCGTCCTCGTGGTGCCCGCAGTTGTGCTCAGACCAGCCCGAGTGGGCGCACTGTCCCAGGAAGTGCTCCAGCCCAGAGCACTGCAGGTTGTCCAGGAAGATGTTCCCGGAGCCCTGGCCGAAGTGGGCCCTGCCCAGGGCGGATATGGCCTGGCCGCAGCCCAGCTGCCGGCACACCACCTCGGCCTCATTCAGGTCCCACAGGTCGTCACACACGGTGCCCCAGGCGCCCTCGTAGAAGATCTCCACACGCCCGGAGCACCGGCCCGAGCTGCCCGCTAGCCGCAGTGCCGGCCAGTCCCCTGCAGACAGAGATATGGTGTGTGAGCCACTCAGAGCCAGCAGCTGCTGGGGTAGGTGGACGCCCCATCCTCTGCCTGGGGCATGTTTCCTGAGATGAGGGTGGGCTCTTTAGCCAATTTAGTTTCATCGCAATTGTATTTATTGGTTGCCGCACGTGGTCTTTTGTTTGGGGGGCCCGCTGGGGTACTGGGTTGCTCTTTTTAACATTTGGTTACCATGTGGGGCCACGAACAGAACTCAGGGGTCGCTTGTGCAAAACACCTGTCATCTCCCGGCTTTCACACGCACTCGGGGTGCGGTCTCACCCACGTGCACCCTCATCAGCATCTGAACCCCCACACGAGGCTGCCCTGCGCAGCAACACCAAAAGGCCTGACCCCCAGAGGGCCTTTCCACCACCCCTAGACCCTGCAATCCACACGGTGAACCGGGAGCCCGAGAGTGAGCTGCTTGGGAGAACACAAGGACGGCCGACATCAGTCACCCACCTGGGCTGACGATAAATGACTCCTCGGCATCTGTGAGTGGAGAGAACCAACATGTCAGCATTTTTTTTTCTTTTTGGGTCACACCCAGTGATGCTCAGGGGTTACTCCTGGCTCTGCACTCAGGAGTTACTCCTGGTAGTGCTCAGGGGACCATATGGGATGCTGGGAATCGAACCTGGGTCGGCCATGTGCAAGGCAAATGCCCTCCCCACTGTGCTATCGCTCCAGCCCCCAACACGTCAACATTGCTCAGTAATCTGACTCTAGTGCCTGAAGACGGTTTTTTTTTTTTGGCTGTTTGGGTCACACCTGGTGATGCACAGGGGTTACTCCTGGCTCTGCTCTCAGGAGTTACTCCTGGTGGTGCTCAGGGGACCCCATGGGATGCTGGGAATCGAACCTGGGTCGGCCGCGTGCAAGGCAAACGCCCTCCCTGCTGTGCTATCGCTCCTAGCCCCCTGAAGATGGGCTTTTATGTGTTCTATAAGAGCTGGTCCATGGGGCATGGGAAAATCCATCACTTGACAGAACAGGCGGGTGGGTGGCCAGAGTCACGGACAGACAGAAGAGCAAAACTCTTCTCCAGCTGCCTTGAGCCCCTTATTTTGAGAAAAAGGCCTCGCGTTCAGGGCACAGTTGGGGTGGCAGGGCCTCACTGAGGATGCGTTTTGGAGAAGCATCTCAGATTTAGTTGGAATCCTCAGGACAAGGGTTGGGGGTGACAAGGGGCCCCGAGGCTGTGACTCAGTGAGATGAACGTGCCACCACTAGGAAGATGCCCCAGCTCTCATTGAGGTGCTCGGGGGGGGGGTCACCATGCTGGGGTGGAGGGTCCCGGGGTCAGGGGAAGGGTCACTGCTCGCTGGGCGTCCCTGCCTCCCAGTGCTCCTGCCACTCATGGGGACCGTTTTTCCCTGTTCCCGGGCGTTACTCAGAGGCGCATTCAGTGTGGGAGCAGACGTCCCCCCTTGTCCTCCAGGTCAGCTGCGGGCTATCGGCCCACAGCGTGGGTGTGTCACAAGCTTCTCTGTGCCATGTGCTCAGGGACGATGGGCCCTTCCCAGCGGGGCGCCCCTGTGCTCTGAAGAGAGGCACCCTGCCAGCGCCCCGCTCCTGACCAGTCACCCAGGGACACAGATGGAGGAAACCGGGGGCTCCCCAGGGTTCTGTCACCCACACTCAGGCCTGTCTAGCTCTGCTCTTGCCCCAACTTCCGGTCACCTCATTGGACTAGCACCTCAGAGCTGGGGAGCTTGATTCCCGCTCAGCGCATCTCTGATGCCCAGTACCATCAGGGCCCGCATGTCCGCCCATCAGTCATGTGCCAGGGCCAGACAGACCCTGTGGGTTTGGAACCCTTATCCCTGCACCCCTGACCTTCCCGCACAGCCCCAACCTCTTAGCCAACAGGCTCTTTGCACAGTGCTCGGGGCACTGCACCAGGCTTTTGTGACTGTCACTCCTGCGTTAGCAAGGGAGACACTTTCACCTCTGGGGTCTGGCTGTGTCTCCCCGCCCGGCCGGAGAACGGGTGGAACCAAGCACGTGTTTGGGGACCCGTGTTTGTGCCTGGCAAGCTTGGAATTCTGGGCATCCTGGGGCCAGTTGGGGCCGCGGTGGAGGGCAGCTTACCGGAGCAGATGACGCCGGCATCCTCATGGTGCCCGCAGTTGTGCTCAGACCAGCCCGAGTGGGCGCACTGGCCCAGGGAGCGCTCCACGCCGGCGCACTGCAGGTTGTCCAGGAAGATGTCCCCGGAGCCCGGGCCGAAGTGGGCCTTGCCCAGGGCGGACACAGCCCGGCCGCAGCCCAGCTGCCGGCACACCACCTCGGCCTCGTTCAGGTCCCACAGGTCATCACACACGGTGCCCCAGGCTCCCTGGTGGAGCACCTCCACGCGCCCGGAGCACCGGCCCGAGCCGCCCACCAGCCGCAGCTCCGGCCAGTTGCCTGCAGACAGAGACATGGTGGCCTGGGCTCTGGGGGTCCTGGGCATGTGCCGAGAGCTGCTTGGCACCCCCCATCCTGGTAAGATCAACGTTCATCCAACCGATGGACTTCCTCAGGAGACACTGTATTGTCTGAGAACGCGCAGCCTGAGACCACCATTAAGTTTCTCTTTCTCCGGGTGTTGGTGCCAACCTGGGTATATGGCAGGCGGGGCGGGGGGAGGTGCACCCAGTGGTGCTCAGGGCTTCCTCCTTGCTCTTCACTCAGGGATCACTCCTGGCAGACTCCAGGGACCATCGGGGGTGCCGGGGATCGAACCCAGGCCCACAGTGTGCAAGGCAAATACCTGCCTGCTGTACTATCTCTCCAGCCCCTCGTGCCAACCTGCCTCTCCCTGATGCAGAAAGGAGGCACTGTCATGGGATTTTGTCACCATGCAGAGTGCTTTCATGAGTGGGCTGGAGCGATAGCACAGCGGGTAGGGCATTTGCCTTGCATGTGGCCACCCTGGGTACGGTTCCCAGCATCCCATGTGGTCCCCCGAGCACCACCAGGAGTAATTCCTGAGTGCAGAGCCAGGAGGAACCCCTGAGCATCACCAGGTGTGATCCCAAAAGAAAAAAAAGTGTTCTCATGAGTATTTGTGTGTTTGCTTGGGTTTGTTTGTTGTTGGGCCACAACCTGCGGCACTCAGGGGTTACTCTTGGCTCTGCGTCCAGGGTTCACTCCTGGCAGTGCTCAGGGGACCTGATGGGATGCCAGGGGTGTCGAACCTGGGCCAGCCTTGTGCAAGGCAAATGCCCTCCCTGGGGTACTATGGCTCTGGTTCCCAGTGTTTGAGTGAATGTCTGTGCTCCCTGTCACTGTCCTGATGACTCAGGGACATACGCAGAAGGTCAGGACTCGGTTCTCACTGTGGGAGAACTGAGAGAGGGAGGGGGCCATAGAGGCCCCAGGCCCCATGCCCGGTCAGTTGCAGACGGCCCCTATGGCCTCTGAGCCCCGGTTTTCTCTCTGCTCCTCTGCTGCCACCTCTGGGGTGGAGCTTTCTCGTTTGGAAAAGGCTGTGAGAGGCAGTAGGGGCTCCCACATGTGGCTCAAGGGCCCTGTGGTCACTCAGGTAATTCTCTGCTGCTGGGTTAGAGGTTCACTGTGAGTCCTGAGGAGGTGGGACTCCCAGGACCACCACAGCGATGCTTGAGGCCCACACCTGGCAAAGTTTGTGGGGTTGCATGGTGCTGCAGATCCACTCAGGTCTGGCCACAAGCCAGGTGTGGACCCTGCACCCTGTGTGACCTCTCTGGTCCCAGGCACCCCCTTTGACCAGCGCTGGCCATACAGAGAACGGGAGAACGCGGAGGCCCTCAGAAGCTGCCGAAACACGCCTTGCTCACTCCAGGGCCAGAACCCCAGGGGTTCACCGCACCCACAGCCCCATTGCGAGGAGCGGGCAGCTGCAGACGGGAGCACAGGTACCAGGGGGAGAGATCGCTTACCTGGTCTCGCTGTCACCAGCATGGGGGTGTCCGTCGGGATGGCTGCGGAGACAAGAGGGCATCTTAGACAACCGGGGAGGATGTGGGCAAGCTGGGGAGGCTGAGATCCTGTCCCCTGACCACCCAGACCCTGGCCAATGCTCCGGCCCTTCCCAGCTTCCTAGTGAGTGACCGCCCCCAAACCTGGCTCTCTGATGGGGCTTTTGGGGCTTCTTGGGAGGGTAGGAACCAAGCAGTTGGGCGGGTTAGGAATCAAGCAGTAATAGTATTTCTCCTTGTGCCTAGTTCCTTGGAGCATGCTATTGAAATCGTGCTGGCTGAGCTGGTGTGTAACTCAGCCAAGTCAGGATCCTTTGGGGGCAGTGGGGCGACTGGGCCCTTTCTCTGGTTTCTAATGTGCCCCGAGTGGGGAGCGCGTGACGAGGGGTGCGTTGCTGTCTGCTAGAAACAAGGGAACAGGAAATCAAGTCAGCGGGGATCGATGTGGACGGCTAGTTTATCTGACTCTTGGCTCAAGACAGACCTCATGGCCACCGGAAGTGAGGGGACACGGGAGACATCACGCCGGGAGCGGGGAAAAGAGGAGCGAGGATGAGTTGACGGCACCAAGCGGGACTCACTGATTAGATGGGGCGTCTGGGAAGTCGCCACTGCAGAGAGAAGGGAGCCATGGTCAGTAACTGTCGCTGTCCATCATGGGCCAGCCCCTCCGCCTCCTCGAACAGGGGCAGTGCCACCGCATGATGGCTCAGTCACTGAGCTCAGCATATCGCTCAGAGCTTGCTGAAAGGGGTCAGGAACAGGATATGAAGTCCAGGGCTCCATGGGTGGGGCTGGACCCGGGGTGACCTCGAGACAGTCACTGGACCTCTCAAGCTTCCATGTCCCTTTCAGGGAGGGAGGAAGGAGCAGGAGTTCTCACGGGAGTCAAAGGTTAAGGGCTCCAAACGCTGCCTGGTATGGGTGAGGCATTGGGTGAGGCCACGTGGGCACCTCTCAGGAGCACCCAGAGGCTTAACGTGAGCTGCCTCTTTGCTACCCACCTTGTTAGAGATGCACACCCCCTCACCTCTGCATCCCCAGCTCTCATACCCCAGTAGCACCCTCAGCCCCGGTCCCTGGGCACCCAAGAGCCAGTCCTGCGGGCAAGTGTTGACCTCTGCCCCTCCGTGACCCTCTCGACCTTGAGCCTAGAGTGCTTCTCTCGCCTAGCATCATCGGTTCGAAGGCACGTGCCAGTTCAGTTTGCCCCACTTGTTCTATCTTCCATTCTAGTATATTCCATGTAGCCTCTAGTTTTTACTTTAGGGAGGGAAGGTGCTGGTGGTAATGACAGTGACAACTGGTGATGCTCAAGGCTTACTCCTGGCTGTCTGCGCTCAGGAATTACTCCTGGCAATGCTTGGGGGACCACATGGGAGGCCGGGGATGGGACCCGAGTCAGGTGTGTAACGGCCTCCAGTTTTATGGTTCATGTTTACCTGTTGAGGCCTTCTTGGCTGGGACCACGTGTCTATTCTCTGAAGGTACCAATCCACACAGGACTAGAACTGGGACAATCCAGAAACGCCCGACTGATGCTTATGTGAAACCAAACGGCCCACGACGGGCACTTGGGACGTGTCCTCTGTGTCCCAAGATCTGTCTCAGCTAACACCCACAACCCATCAAAGAGGTCAGCTTTCCCCAGTCCACGGGGAACGGGTGGAGGCACAGGTGATCTGGTGCCCAGGAAAACCAGCCCACCCGAGTCCTCCTCTCAGTCCCTTCTCACCTTTGGCCGCAGAATAGTAGTAAGCGACGAAGTTCTTCCCGATGTTGTTGAAGCTCCGGAAGTAGATGAGGGTCATGATGTTGGAGGACGAGGCGTAGGTGAGGTAGGAGCCGGCGCAGGTCTTAGCGATGGATTTGGTGGAGGAGGGAGGCCCGTCCAGGATTTCAAAGTACTCATTGGTGCAGTCGAGGCTGGAGAGCAACAAGGAGGGATGCCTCTGAGACCCAGGCAGTGGGGGCGAGTAGGGATTTATCAGGCTACGTATGGGCCTAAGGCACCTTGGGGAACTGCAGAAAAGCAGCTGGTTTAGTTTGCTCAATTCGATGTTTCCTAAACAGTATTCATTTAGGAAACCTGAAGTGTGCGTGTGTTTGTCTGTGTGTGCATGTGTGTCTGTGTGTATGTCTCTGTGTGTGTGTGCATGTGTGTGTCTTTTTTTTTTTAAAGGATGAAAAAGCTACAAAACACAGAACCGGAGCAAAAGATGGTGTGACCAGCCAGTGTGGACCCCAGGGTGGTAGCTTCCAGCTCTGGGCTGGGAGTGGGGCATAGCGAAACTTCCTCACCTGGGGGCAGTAATATATATATATATATATATATATATATATATATATATATACACACACACATATATATATCTTTCACTTATGTATTTATTTGGGCTTTTTGGGTCACATCTGGTGATGCTCAGGGGTTACTCCTGTCTCTGCCCTTGGGGATCACTCCTGGTGGTGCTCATGGGACTAGATGGGACGCTGGACATTGAACCTGGGTCGGCCATGTGCAAGGCAAGCACCCTCCCCGCTGTGCTACGGCTCCGGCCTCCAGGTAGACCTTAGAGGTGAGATCCAGCTCACTGCGTGCCGTGAGGAGGCTGGGGGAGAGGAGTGTCCATCAGCTACCCTGGCACCCACCAGGTGGATTCTTTTAATCCTGCTTCTTCTCTCTTAGAGAGAAGGAAGAGAGCAGAACTTTAGCTGGAAGAGGAGAGAGGTGAGGAGCCCTGGGTGACCTTGTGCTGAGGCCTGGGCAGCCTGGCAAATTGGACGGACGGCCAGGGCAGGGCCAGGGAAGATAAGAGCCTTGCCCAAAGGCTCAGTGATTAATTCCAAGGTCCAGCAATTGTGCGTTTACGATTCACACCAGAGACACTTAGAGCGGAGGGATGAGAAAGACAGTCCATGCAAAGTCCTGCCTACACATGTCCAGAGACTCTATCCAGCTAAAACCCAGAAGAATCTCAGTTACTTAGCAGAAGGAGAATTAACTCTGACCTCCACAAATGGAGGAATTCCCAGCAGAGAAGAAGGAGCAATAGCAAAGCGGGTAGGGTATCTTCCTTGCATGTGGCCCACCCGGGTTTGATTCCTCCATCCCTCTCTGAAAGCCCGGCAAGCTACCAAGAGTATCTCGCCCACACGGCAGAGCCTGGGCAAGATCCCCGTAGCGAGTCGATAAGCCAAAAACAGGAACAAGTCTCACAATGGAGAGGCTACTGGTGCCCACTCGAGCAAATCAATGAACAACGGGATGACAGTGTTACTGTGCTACAGAAGAAGGAGCAAACCGTTGTCTCAAGGACTTTATGATGAATGGGAAAAAATCTGCTTCAAAAGGAAATATACATTATGATTCCACTGATATTCTAGTCTAAAAAAATGACAAAAATACAGAGGAGAGATTGTTGGTGCCAGGGCACCAGGAGGGGTGGTGGCAGGTATGAAGAGTAAAGCGTGGTTTGAGGGTCTGGAGGTGGCTCAGATGGGACCCAGGAGGCCTGGCATGGTGAGGCAATTTGTCCAGCACCATTGTGTGACCATTGGCACCCCGTAACCCAGTGTGGGCACCCCCCAGATACTGCTACAAGGATAACGATTTTTTTTTGGCTTTTTGGGTAACACCTGACGATGCTCAGGGGTTACTCCTGGCTCTGCACTCAGGAATTACTCCTGGAAGTGCTCAGGGGACCATATGGGATGCTGGGGATTGAACCCGGGTCAGCCGCGTGCAAGGCAAACACCCTACCCGCTGTGCTATTGCTCCAGCCCCAAGGAGAACAATTTTTTGAGGAGGAAAAAGTGTTTCTTGGAAGTGGGCCTCAATTGTGGGTGACCTCAGTGCATGCACAGTGTGTGTAGGTGAGCACACACACGCACACACACACACACACACATGTACACGGAATGGTGCCTGGGGGCTGATGAACAGGGTCTTTGTATCAGCCTCTGGTGTGAGTCTTATTTTATTGTTCAGGAAGAGGCCCCCGCCTGGGGAACCCGGACTTCGCATTATTTCTGTAACTACCTCTGTGCTTAGGATCAAAAGTGTCAAACTAAGCATTTCAAGAGGCGTGGAGGACTCATGCGCTTGGAAATACCAAGCTTGGGCCAAGCTGTCTGACATGTGGCCATGGGACACGCCTCGCCAGCAAACCGTGTACTTACTTGAGGTATGGAAACGCCAGCAAGATATGGTCGGACGCGTTGGCCTTGATCTGCCACACGCAGGTCACGTTGTCGTGCATTTCGTTCTTGGGGGGGTTCCTGATGGAGCCCGATGAGTTTGTAATGATGCTGCCACACGGGAACTTCCCTGCTCGTGGGAGGATCAGTGAAACCCCAGTGTTTCGTGGCTTAACTAGATCATTTAGTGACACAGTTTTTTTTTTTTCTTGTCCTAGCTCTCACTGTTTTTTACCTTATGGGCATCGTGAGAGATGGATCAGAGACAGATCCTCCAAAACAAGTCAATTTTTTTTTTTTGCTTTTTGGGTCACACCCGGTGATGCTCTGGCGTTACTCCTGGCTCTGTGCTCAGGAATATTCCTGGCGGTGCTCGGGGGACCATATAGGATGCTGAGAATTGAACCTGGGTCGGCCGCGTGCAAGGCAAACACCCTACCTGCTGTGCTATCGCTCCAGCCCCCCAAACAAGTCTTGTCAACAGGGGAAATGAAGGCCTCCAAGCCTCTGTGGTTGGAGATGCCTCTAACTCCCTCTGGGAAAGCTACAGTGGCCTGGGGAAGTGTCACTGGACAGCCAGTCCTTCTACTGAGCCCCGAGCTGTGGGTTCTGTGGTGTGGAGCTTTGGTTTTTTAGATCCTAGTTGATAAGTGGCTCCCGTTGCCCAGTCAAGGCTGACTCCGGGGGCCTCTGTCTGCGAGGCTTGGCCAGGCAGGCTCCCTCCAGCCTCGTTAATATAGTTGATTAAGGTGACACTCTTTCAAACCCACGATAAAGTGGAGGGAAGTCACCCTGGGTCACCCACCCCCTCTGATGCTAAGAACATGTACTGACTCCGCTTGTCCCCTTTACCCCCCACCATATGTTTGTTTCTCCGTTGGTTTGTCTCCTGTCTGCGCTGCATGTCTGTCTGTCCGGTAGTTAGTCTAGAACGAGAGGCAGGACCCGGGGCTGTAGACCTGCTCTGGCCCTGATTATCACCCGACTCCAGGTTTCAGGATTGTTCTAGTTCTTGGACCCCAAGTGGAGCGTCTAAAACAAGTTCCAGGGAACCCTGGGACGCAAATGCCATAGTGGTGACAGAGCGGGGGAGAGAAAGATGCGAAGACAGGCTGGAGGAGGTGGAGGCCTGAGGCTTTCAGAAAGGAGCAGGGCTGGTGGAAGCCCACTCAAGTGACACCCCCCCGCCCACCTCTGCCTTCCTGGCCTAACGCCGCACCTTCCACCCTGGGCACCTGGGAAGTTGGCCCTGCCTGGTTGTCTGGACTTCCTTTTGTGACTAAATAGCAAATTCAGCCTGACCCATAGACCCAATGGCCTTCATTGTGGACCATCCCTCGGGGCACTGGGTTGGAGTGACCCATGCAGGGGGCCTGTGTTTGTCCAGTGTTCTGGAGGAATCACTTCCCGGCTTGAGCGAGACCATCAGGGCCGCCAACACGCCGAGTCTTACCTGCAGCCATCGTCCCTGCCTGGACAGCCAGGGGGTGACCTGTCAGATACACACAGGACAAGTGCACCATCAGCGGAGACCCCCAGAACCATAGAACCAATGTCTGTTCCGGGGAAGGCCATGGCGAACCCAGAGGCAGGACGGAGGGGGCTCTTAGCACCCTGCTCCTCCCCAGACCCTGAGGCCTTATTTGCTTGTCCAAAACATAACAGAGAGTTAAACACGGAGCATGGGGTGGGGGGTGAAGAAAAAACCTGAAGGGCTGAAATCCTGTCTCCCGTAGCAAGTCTGCTGAGTGGTGGTTTGGAGTTTCGTGCGGGGACAGGAGGAAGGGAAATTGGGGAGGGGGTGGTCCAGCCGGGAGTCTTGACCCAATAGGCTGTGCACCCCACGCCCCACCTCTCTCCTTCCCACACCCCCTCACGGCCTGTCCTGCCAGAGTCTGTCCTGGGAAATGGGACGGGTGCTGCGGAACCTTCCGGACCTCGTCCTCAGCTTTGTCGCAGCTCACTGGACAGACCAAGAACTGGCTAAGGTCAGAGTTTCCCGGGTCCTGGCTGGGGAAAGACTGGTGTCGTGTTGAAGCACGAGCAGGTGGTGGGGTGGGACTGTGCCAGCCAGATGGCGGAGACCAGGTCAGAACGGAACCAGCTGACCCAACTGGGCCACCAGCCACCCTTTGCTGCTCCTCGGGCCGCAGACTAGCGTTATTCAACTCCTGGCCTTGTTTTCTTCCTGTCCCTGCCGGGGTCTGCCGACTGGCCCCCTAATCTGGCTCACACCCCGGCATTTCCATTCACACAGATTTCACTCATGGCCCCTGTTGAGTGTCCTGGGGGCTTCTAGGGAGTGATTTGCCCTCCCTGCTGAGAAATGCTGCCTTAGACCACTCCCTGCCCATGTCCCCTTACCACTCTCCCCCGCCCCCCAGACAAGGTGCCGGGCAGGATGGGGAGGATTTAGTACTTCCTGTGGGTGTAGGAGGAGCAGAGGGGGTCTGAGCCCCTCACAGTCTCCCTCTGGGCATTCAGACAAGTCCACAGCTCTCAACCCTTACCACCGGCTGGGGGGTTGGTGGGGGGTCAGATACACACAGCCTCACAGAGGCGGGAAGTGGGGGATGGAGAGGAGTGGTGGGAGGGATACTGGGAACATTGGTGGTAGAGAATGGGCACTGGTGGTGGGATGGGTACTCCACCGTATGACTGAAACGTAATCACCAAAGTTTGTTTTGTTTTGTTTTTGCTTTTTGGATCACACCCAGCGGTGCACAGGGGTTACTCCTGGCTTTGCACTCAGGAATTACCCCTGGCAGTGCTCAGGGTACCATACGGGACGCTGGGAATCGAACCCAGGTCGGCCGCATGCAAGGCAAATGCCTTCCCCACTGTGCTATTGCTCCAGCCCCATAATCACCAAAGTTTGTAAGTCTGTAACTGTAACTCACAGTGATTCACTGAAAAATATAAAAATATAAAAACAAAAACAAAACAGATACAGCCTGTGGTGGAACTTTCTCCTCCAGCTGGCGTCTGGGTGCCTACCTGTGGCCGTGGCCGCGGCGTCCTCAGCATCTGTAACCATGGAGACAGAAGCATCCCTGTGAGCCGGGGAGGGCCCCTCCCAGGCGCCGTTTCCTGCCATCCCGTGAAACCCTCTTTCCCTGAGCGTAGCGGGCAGGGCCAGACTAGACTCACCCGAGCAGATGGCGCCAGCGTCTTCCGCGTGCGCGCAGTTGTGCGAGAACCAGCCGACGTGCGAGCATTCCCCCAGGTGCCGCTCCTCACCCTCACAGTGCACGTTGTCCAGGAGGATCTTTCCAGAACCTTCTCCAAAATAGGCCTCCCCCGGGGCAGCCACGGCCCGGCCGCAGCCCAGCTGCCTGCAGACGATGGTGGCTCCGGGCAGGTCCCAGAGGTCATCGCAGACCGTCCCCCACTCTCCCTCGTAGAAGAGCTCCACGCGGCCGGCACAACTCGCAGGGCCCCCCACCAGCCTCACGGGGGGCCCCGTGCCTGGGGGAGCAGAAGGGATGGGTTGGTTGCTGCTTCTGCCCGTGGCCACTCTCTCGGCCTCCCTCATCCTCCTGATGTTTGCACCCACATCTTTCTACTGCCCGGCATGGGCCCAGCTCCTGTCAGGCATGTCTGCTCTGAAGATATGCTCCTTACAACCCCCACACTGTGTGTCTGCACTTGTGTGTCTGTGTGTGTGTGTGTGTGTGTGCATGTGTGTCTGTGAGTAATGTCAGCCAGAGGGGGAGAGATGCTCTCAAGGGTGGGATATAAAAAAACACAGTAAGGGAATCACACATGGCCAAAGGCAACAGAACCTGATGGTGATTTAGGTGTTGACCGTGGTGATGGTGCCAATGATGGTGACAACGAAGATAATGATGGTTGTGGCAGTGACGACAATGGCCGAGATGTTGCAGATGAAGATAACAGGGTTGAAATTAAAGGTGATGATGCAAAGGTTATCGATTCTTGTTCTATTAAGAAAAGGAAGATTGATTATTCTTTTATGACATAAATCTTAGGCTTTGGTCCCAGACCAGCAGCATTCTGGACTTCTTAGAAATACAAATTTTACATCTGAGTCTAGTGAGTAGAACTTTGGTGGAAGTGGCTAGCGGTCTGGACTTTAATAAGCCCTCTGCATCATTTGGAATTACTATGCAAAGACTACTGCTTTAGGATAGAAGTGCAAAAAACACTGCTTTAGGGCAAAAACTGCAAAAGACACCGCTTTAGGACAAAAATAAATGATTGACTTTCATATGCAATTTTCCACTGACATTCTTTCTTTCCTAATTAGAAGGGATCAGACCTCTCAGATTCCAGAAGGGTGATTTTCTCATCTAATCACTCTAGAAAGTGAAAGATAATTTTTCCCTCTCCAATGAGTAACATGTGATGATTTATATACCTAGTCATGGAAAACTGTAACCTAAAGCCAATGACGGCTCATCACAGCCCATCAGTGGTCCTAGGTGAGTTCTGTGTTGCCTGCAGTGACCTGGTGATTTGGTTCTGAATCGAGAAGCCTCTTGCTTCTGGTGGCTAAGTAGCGTGGTGACTCCTGGTACGCTCTTTGTGGCTGAGCCACTGCCAAACCTCACCCGACACAGTCTACACTCGGGAAACGGCTCTTCAGAGGGGCCATTCAGGCCAGGGTTTGGAGATTTCCTGTGGAAGTGAAGCCTAGATACCCGCGGTGCATGGGCTTTGAGTTCCATCTGTTGTGTTTGCTTTGGAGCTACACTGGGAAGACCCTTTAGACTCAAGCAACTCAGGCAGATCAGCCTCTGCAAACTGCTGACAGTGCGACTCAAGAGTCCTTTTGTTTCGAGTGGCGATCACAGAGAGTATCTGCTAGCAAGACAGAGGGAGAAAGTAGATGGGGCATAGAAGGAACGCACATCAGTCACCCCTGGAGGGGAGGGACCTGTCATTGGAGAGTCTGCAGACTGGAGAGGAAAGCATCAGCCCTCAGAGGGGAGGAGGAGTCTGTCACAGCCCCTTCATCCTTAGCGGTGTAGGATGCAGGACTCTCACCTGAGCAGATGGCCCCAGCATCCTCCATGTGGCCGCAGTTGTGAGAGAACCAGGGGTCGTGGGCACAGAGGGCCAGGTGGCTTTCCTCACCACTGCAGTGCACATTGTCCAGCAGAATAGTCCCAATGCCGGGACCGAAGTGGGCATCCAGGGGGGCCGCTACTGCCCGGCCACAGCCAAGCTGCTGGCACACCACCTGTGCCTCCGCCAGGGTCCAGCCATCATCACACACTGAGCCCCAGATGCCCTGGTAGAAAACTTCCACTCGCCCTGCGCACCTGCTGGGGCCGTCAGCCAGCCTCAGTGTGGGCCAGGATTCTGCAGAAAGAAAAATCCAGGTTTGGGGAGGGAGCCTGACCACTGAGGTCACCACCCCTGCAGGGCTGGGCTCTTCCAGTGAGGCCCGTGTGCACTAGCATGCTTAGAGAATAGCATCGACTAATCTTGCCCCAGTGTGGCGAGCTCTTTCGGGTCAATCAATGCAGATGGGATGAAAGAGTGTATGTTTTTCTTGCATTGGTGCTTGAGGGCTTGGCCTCCAGGGCAGATACGCAAAATGATGAAAATGTGTTTCCACCAGGGTGGGAAATGGCATGGATGAAAGGGTTGCACTACAATGATGTAAAGCAGAGAGCGGGGCTGGGGAGATGGCTCAGTGGGCCGAGTATAATAGTGGGGACACCTGCGTTCATTACCCTGCATGACATTACTGTGTCCCACGAGGAGTAGCCCCTGAATAGAGAGTAGCTGCTGGGCACCACTGGATGTGACCTCCAAACCGAAGAAGAACAGCAGAAAAAAGGTACCAATATATGTATATTGATATGGGTAAAGTCATGTTGAGTAAGAACCTCAGGCACCTAATAATATCCAGAGACCAACAATTTTACTGGAAGAAAAACATAAGTTAATCTGGGTGACCCTCTGGCAACATGGATTTGAGAGGGGAAGATCTACGGGCAAGCAGATTTTCTTCTTTCTCAGGATCCCTCGATCACACATCCAATATCACAGGCATTGATTGGTTGGGATGCAGAACCCACAGGTATAAAGGTCCACTTCAGGGACTTGAGCATTCCTAGATTTGGTATTGGGGTGTCAAGATCATCCTCCCGAGGTTGCCAAGTGATGACTGTGTTTGGGATGTTTGAAAGTTAAAAAATATATATATATATATATTTTTGGCAATGCTCAGGGGTTACTCCTGCCTCTGCACTCAGAAATCAGTCCTGGTGGTGCTCAGTGGATCATATTAAGGTTCTGGAAATTGAATCTTGGTTAGCCATGTGCATGGCAAATGCCCTACCCATTGTACTAGTGCTCTGCTCCTTAAAATGATTTTTTGATAGTTCGGGAGAAGAGCACTTCTCTCTCTGGAGCTGTTAGGGGGTAATCATATAGTGACTATGACATCTCTATTTGTACCATTAACCACAAAATGAATTCTGATATAGACTAAATATAGATATAGACAGATAACTATAGATACTGACCAAATTCAAGGAGTGTGTCTAAAAGAATACAGACCAGGGAATTTGGGGACCTTTGGACTTATCAGTAATGCTTTGCTTTACAGTAAGACAAGAAAACTAAGAAAGGAAATATTCAAACATTCAAACAAAACACCTAAAGAGTTTGAGTGTGTGTGTGTATGTGTGTGTGTGTGTGTGTGTGTGTGTGTGTGTGTGTGTGTGTGTGGTATGAATGGCTATTTGCTTTCTAATGCTTTGCATTTTCTGAACTTTCCAATGTTTCTGTGGGAGAGGAGGGCACTGAGGATGGTCTGGTTTCAACCCACATTGTGGGCCGTTTCTATGGGCTGCGATCTTCCTGCCTGTCACTATGTGATAAGGTTAGGGGGAGAGCCCTTGACCCATGCCTCTCCCCGGCCTCCTTCCAGTCGGTCCCCGAGTACCTGCTGATGCTTCCTGGGAGGAGGCTTTCTGGCCTGGAGGCCCAAGCTGGGCCTCAAATGATCTGAGTCCAGAGGCTGCCGAGCGAACCTTGGGGGGAGCTAGAACACGGAAATCATGGTTAGGACCAAGCCCTCTGCCCCCAAAATGGATCCAGGTCACATCAACCAGGGCTCAGTTGGCCAAGAGGCACCAATCAGCCTTTCCACACCTTATCAAAACACCGTCCCGGCCACACGACTCTGGGACGACCACACACTCATTTCTATTGAGATTTGGACCAAGATCCAGGGGCAGCTTAGAAAGCTCTTAGATGTGACTCCTATGCCCCCAAGCCTTGCCACTTGGACCCCTCTTCAGCTCCAGGTTCCACATAAGAATGCTTAGCAGGGGTCAAATGGTCATCCAAGACCGGCGCATTTCTAGGATGCAATGTCTTAGAGCGCCCCCTAAAGGATCGAGGCAGCGAGACAAGTCACATGTTTTGGAACTGCCAAGCTGGTCCGCCCGTGAGTTGAGAGGTGAGTTATGGGAACGCTGCTTTACCTGACGTGAGAACTGGGAACTCTCCCTTGCTTTCTGATCCTGAAAAATAAGAACGTGTTAGGATGATGTGGCTTCCATAGTTGAGGAGGGAGAGTAGTGCCAAGAGGGGCTTCTGCTGTTTTCCTGTGTGGTGTCTGTCTTTGCGTAGAGAGATTGTTCTTAGCTGAAGCCAAAGTTCTCCAGGACGAGCTAGAGTCTGTCCCTAGGTGAACTGCCTGTGCTTCTATGTACTCACTCAGCAACTGTTCAGTAGCCATTATCTGTGTTTATCAAACCCAGCATTGTGAGATGCCAGAAAAGCATGATGAGCAGGACCGAGAAAATCCAGGCCCTCCTGGGTGTTGAAGGTGATCTTGAACCAGTTCCCTAGGCTCTGTATCTCCCCAGTCCTGAACTTCAATTCATTCTTCCCAAGGACTTTTATGCTGTGCTGAGATCTGCAAAGTCTCAGCCCATTTTCCATTCACTGCCCGTGGCCTACCTGATGGTGTGGTTGGGCCGTTCACAACTTCTGGGATGGGGGAAGTCACATGAGCTGTAGGAAAAAGCACAAAGTATTGTAGAAAATGCCTCCTGCCATCCAACACGGAGAGGGGGGGCTTTCTTGTCCCTGGGCTTCATGTTTCCAGGAAACGAGTTCCTGCAAGCTGATTCTCAGAGAGATGGAAACAGCACCTTGAATCTATGATACAGACACAGGCAATTCTGTGCCGTCTGATGCCATTTCTGTGAACGGGCCAGACAGACTCAGCCACAGAACTGGAAAGAGGTTGGGGGGTGGTGGCCAGAGGCAGGGATGCTTTGGTGTGAGTCAAGAGCATGAACACGGGCTCATCACCCCGCAGCCGTGACGGAGCCAGCCTTCTCCCTGAGTGGCCAGGATGCAGCCGGGCTCTCTAACCCTGGGAGAGAGTTAGTCCCCCTGTTCCACAGAAGAACACTGCAGCACAGCAGGCAAGGGAGCTTGGGGAGAGCCCCCGAGCAGGGCACGGGACTGCCAAGCAAATGCCGCACACCTCTCAGGAGTCAAAAGAACCCTCGTCACTGAGACGTGAGCTTAAGAACTTGCTGAGATTGATCTCACCTTTATTGCTATTTGCAAAGGAACACAAACAGGCCAACTTGGATGAGCCAGGCGGAAGTCAATTATTCAGCCGTTGCTTTAATCGCTCCTTTAACAAGTATTGATGCCCAGTGGACATTGTTCTCAAGACTGTGCACATGTTAATGTATGTGCATACATGTGTGTGTGGGTAAGCACATGTGTACATATGGTTGAAGACAATGCCCAGTTTGAGTAATGAGGATTTGGCTCCAAGAAACTGACAAAGTCATTGAAGGTGCACCAACAGTGGACAGAGAGGGAGGATGGGGAGGGAAGACAGGGAGGGAACACAGAGAGGAAGGATGGGGAGAGAGGACAGGGAGGGAGGACAGCAAGGGAGGAAGGAGAGTCACTGGGAGTGGAGACGAGGGAACTGGAGGTGTCAGCTTGTAATGGGGAGGATGGTGCTCATTCTGGGGTCCAAGGCTGGTGCTGAGGGCCTACCCTATGGGCAGTGGAGAAGGGAGCGTGAGAATGATGAATCCCAGTGCTGTGGCTCTCACATAAGTCCACCTGGGTTTCCCTCAGCCCTAGAGAACCCCAAGGTCTGAACGGGCAGCACGCCCATCTCCTCCTTCCACAGTTAATAGGATTTGAACGTGTTGCAGAGAGTCAAAACAGTGGCGAGATTAAGCTCAGGATCTCTGGAGTCAGAGTGTTTGGATTATCATTCCATCGACTTTGGGACAATATTGAGCCGATTTGAGCCTGAGTTTCCCCATTCAGAAACCAGGGGTCATGGATGTTTCTTCATCCGGCTGTTGGGCGGATTAGATAAGAAAATTCATGTTAGATAGTCCACTGAGGGATTAGCACTGTGCAACAACGCTTCCCAGAAGAAATGAATCGTGCCCTTTAGGGACAAGGTAATTTGTTCTGGCACTCGCCTTTCAAAACAGTAAAAATAAACAGGTAAATGCGGTCAGAAGAGTTCTTGAAAGGTGCAAGTGGAAAGAAGAAGAAAAGGGAAAGGGAGAAATCTGGAGACACTGCACCCAGGCCATGAAGAGAAAGAAGGAGGCAGTGAGCTGAGGCAGAGGCAGAGGCTAAACCCGGAGAGGCAATGAATCCCCTCCCGAGTCTCAAGAAGGAAGAGAGAGAGACCCATTCTTCTGCTTCTACAATTGCAAATTAGTAAATGTGCCCAGAGTAAGCGAGTAAGTTCATGGCAATTTCTCACAGCAGCAATAGAAAACACAGGTCATTGTCACTGTCCTCTCGTTGTTCATTGATTTGCTTGAGTGGGCCCAGTAACGTCTCCATTGTGAGACTTTGTTGTTACTGTGTTTGGCATATCGAATACGTCACGGGGAGCTTGCCAGGCTCTGCCATGCGAGATACTCTTGGTAGCTTGTTGGGCTCTCCGAGAGGGGCAGAGGAATTGAACTCGGGTCGGCCATGTTGGACGCTTGCAAGGCAATCGCCCTACTGCTGTGCTATCACTCCAGCCCAGGCAGAAGGCAAATATTACATATGATCGAATGATGCTTCCTCAAAAAAAAAAAGAAAAGGTATCATAAATAATAACTTGAATTTAGATACACTCAAATAGCTGGCCAAAGTGAAATTTAAAAACAAGTGCCCCTTATATCCAAAATGGGTTTCAGTAGTATTTCAAAAGCAACAATACTCTCATTTTCAAAAGAAATTCAAAAGAAATCCACCCTCCACAAACTCAGCTATAAGGGGCAGGTTGTCACGAGTTATCCCTCAGTGGGAAAAAGAAATGTTGAAGGAAAATTGTGCAATAACTT